GGGGGGGAGAATGTGTGTGTGTGTGTAAGAGAGAAAAAGAGGAGGAGGGAGGGTGGGTAAAGTGACTAAAGGGTAAAGGGGTGGGGGCTTGGAGGAAATAGGGAAATGGTGAGCAAAGTATGGGAGGAAGATCCCAGACACTGCCCAGAATACACCCCAGTGGAGGGGAGGGGGGGAAGGGGAAGGAAGGAGTAGGAGCAGGGAGGTGGGGCAGGAGGGAGTGGGTGGGTGTGTATTTGGGGGGGGGATTGTCCGCAGCTGAGTTCACACAATCCCCCCATTCACCATCTCCATGGCAACTCTGGGGCACAGACCGCTCATTCACACCGCTTCCCCTCCAGCAACCCCCCCATTAACCCCCTCGGTGCCGCCCCCACCTCACGAATTCCATTAACTCTTTAGGGATTGCCTCCCTCTCCAGTAACCCTTCCTCGACAAATGCCAGATTCCCCTTTGAGTCAATTCCCTATAGTCCCTCCCCAAGAACACCTAGACAAACCAACCGACCCCCAAATGCCCTCTGTACATTAGGACCCACTGTGAGTTCCTAAGGGCAAGATCTCTATCCTGGTCCAACTTGCAATTTGGGAGAAGACAAGGGGAGGCAGCAATGCCAGGGATGAGAATGGCATCTAGGGGTACTTTTGAGGCTGGAGGTATTGGGCAAGGGGCATTGTGCAGGAATGGAGCAGAATTGAGAACTGCAGTATTGGGGGCTACATGGGTTTGGGAAGGTATTGGGGGATGGAGTTGTACTGGAATGGGGAAGATAGAATAAAGGCCTCCATGGGGGGGGGGGCTGCACGAGTGGGGGAGGGAGCCTGGCTAGGAGATGCTATGATGGAAGGGGGATGGGGCTGCACTGCAGGGGAAGGGGGGACTGACAATGTGCAACACAGAAATGGGACTGGGGGCCCTCAATAGGAGTATTTTGGTGAGCTTGAAGGATAAGCTATGCAAAGAGGGACCATGGGTGGGAGGATGATAGGGAAGCAAGATTTAGGGAGGGGGTGGAGAGAAGTAGAGCAGGGGACTATTGGGGGGGGGGGTCAGGGTGCCAACGGAGAATATGGGATTGAGAGGGACGGGGGCCACTGGATGGGGAATGGAGGGCCCTGGGATTGGGAGGGGATAGGATGGGGGCAAGGTATGGGCAGCTAGAGGATGAGAGATGGGGCAAGTGGCCTCACCTGTTCCCCGGGCTGCTGCAAGCAGGCCACGGACCACCCATATCGCCTCCAGGCCAAGGGCTCCGCACCCGGATCCTGAGATCAGCTCCAGGCAGCCAGGCTGCCGTGCCCGCGCACCAAAGGGGCGCGCGCTGTGCGCGTGTCCGGACGGGGGGGGGGCTGGCGCGGTCCCTGCCATTAACTCCTTTTGTGCCAGAGATGGCTCAAGTTCTGGCCCCAACCCCTCTCCCCCCCTGCTCAGGGAAGCTCTGCCCACACCTTCTCCTGTCTCACATACACACACCTCATTAAATTATCAGGCAGGTGATATTTCAGGACAGTCAGTCTAAACTTTACCTGCAAAGCTTGAGACCTTGAAACAAAGGGAGAAACTGAGGTACTGCAAACAGGACCCCCATCACACTCCAAAAAGACATGCCTCAACCTCACTCAGCCTCTCTCACCTCTCAGCACAAGCACTACCCAGGCAGCAACCATAAGTGGGGCCACTTTGACCTCAACCTGTCACTTTCCCAAAGGTTGATATCCTTCCTGTCCCTCTACTGCTCCAGCTGCTCGGTCTGATGATTTCAGCCTCTACTCCTTCCCAAGACCCCATGTCTTTGTCTTGTATTTCTGTATGTAGTGCACCTATCCCGTTGGCCTAGCACTCCACCCCACTCTGAATGTCCCTTATCCCAGAGCAGCCTTTTCCCCTGTGGCTCCTTGGTGTTAGGACAGAATTATGCAGGAACAGTTTCAGTCATGTTTGCATTTACCCCGGTAATTCCTCACACATACAACTCTTAAAACTTTGAGAGGGCAGGAGATTTAGCTCAGTGGTTCTGACGCCTGCCCGAAAGCACAAGAACCTGAGTTCATCCCTGGCACCAAAAACAAACAAACAAACAAACAAAAAAACAGCAGCAGCCGGGGATTTAGCTCAGTGGTTTTGCCGCCTGCTGCCTGCTACGCAAGTGCAAGCACAAAGACCCAAGTTCGATCCCCGGTACCAAAAAAACAGCAGCAAAACTTTGAAAATCCCATATGCATGAGGGCTTTGTAGATGGTCCTCGGAGAGGGTTTTTTTTTTTATAACTTGGGTATTAATTGGTTCTCCTTGTTTTACCTGCACACTTCACACTTCTCAGCAACAGGGTGCAGCAACAACGGCTTGGACATTACCCTTAAGTTGGCAGATCTTTTTGTACCGCCCACCCACCGGGTTGCAGCTGGTCCTTTTCATCCTAGCTAGGTAAATCAGAAGACTCCACTGTGGTAAATCAGAAGACTCCACTGTGGTAAAGCAGTTGGTTTTCGTTGCACAGCCTTGGATTTAGGACTTAAAGCACAAGGAAGGGGACCTGAGAATGGTCCGGCCACAGCTCCAAATATGACTCTGAAGAAAGTTTTAAGTTTTCTGTACTGTAAAACGGGAGTGAGCAATAGTCATCCTGGCTAACTGCCAAGGTGGGTCATGTGAAAACAAATAGTTCCAGCAGCAGGGCAGAGAAACAGGTGTTGCTTCTCATTGGGCTCTTTCCTCAGAGCCACATCGCCCTTCCACTACCTACTCTATGATGGCACAGGTTGACAAAGGGCAATTTCTCATCTCAGAAATAGGACTTAGGGAAAGGCTGCTACCCGGGGCATGATGGAACCACACAAGATAGCCATAGGGTAGCCAGTAACTGTCATCTCCATGGCACCCTCAGTGTTCAAAGCACACCAGGTGGGGTGTCATAAAAAGAAAATTGGGTTCCCTTTATTTTTTCCTCTGGCCTAATGGTCCTGCCCAATCCCAGTGAGTGGTATGTCCTCCACAGAGGAAAACTAAATGATGCGGCAATGGTTAGATGATGAGGTGAACTGCCCTTAAAGAGATGGAGGGCCTGTATCTTACTCAACATGCTGCTTTGGAGCCAGAGGAGAGGGTAGGAATTCAATCAGAACTCAGAAAGATAGGAGGTAGAAGGTGAGCAGGGGAGATGATCGGAACCACATGAAGGCTCTGACTTGTTGGTCCAGCCCCCAGCACTCTCCCAAAAGACCAACCTTTCCCGACACAGAATTCACACACTCCCTTTGCAAAGAAGCTCTGTGTATTGGGTGCAACAGCTCTGGGGTCTCTATATAAATAATATACAAAAACCCAACAGCTCAATGCTTCACATTAACAAAAATACTAAAAACTTATTAAAAATGGAGCCTGAGGGAAGGACCCCAACCATTACTGGTGCTAGCCCGGAAAGAGGATTGGGAATTAAGAGGAAAGGGTAGGGCCACATCCAGTGCACAAGCAGTTCTTCCAGGTGGCTCAGTAGCGTCCAAATATGTTGGTACTGGGCTGTGGCTGGGTATCTGTGAAAAACCAGAGATTGTCAGGGTGGGAAATCAAACAGGCCTATAGACATGCAGGAGGAGAGCTAATCAGATGCAGAGGGAAGGGATCCCCCATAACTTGGGGCTAAAGCAGTCACTTCAGCTGCCTTTGCCCACCCTGTTCTTCACTTATTATGGGGCTCCCTTGGAAAAGAAGGCAGACTTACTGGAGAGTTGTTGTTGGAGTTGCCGGACCAAAGCTGCTGTCTGTTGCTGCTGCTGGGTCTGCTGAAGCCCCTGGCGCTGGAACTGAGGTAGAAACAGGAAGCAGAAGGTTGAACTTTAACATTTGCCTCCTCCTCCACTCATCTTCCACCCCTTTGTAGAGTGCCATGCCTTACTTTCCACGACTACCTCATTGCATACTGTCCCCAACCCAGTTCACGGGTTGCATGCTCAACTTAGGCAGCTGTCCCTAAGCCAAGGGTTGATGTTGAGCAGCTACCTGGGGCTGGGACTGAGGCTGGGGTTGGGGAGGAGCTGCCTGTTGCTGTTGCTGCTGCTGCTGCTGCTGTTGCTGCTGCTGCTGCTGTTGCTGCTGCTGCTGCTGCTGCTGCTGTTGCTGCTGCTGCTGCTGCTGCTGCTATGAAGATACAAGAGATACTTGTGAGAAAAGCAAATGAGCAGGAACTTGGTACTGGAGGAATAGGGACAGGAAGTGGAGTCAAGGCTGAGATGTAGAGAGGAAACTCTGGGCCCCCATCTTCCATTCTCAGACCACAGCTAGAAAGAGGCCAAATATAGAGTACCTGCCAAACAGTGTCCAACTCTCTCCTATTCTGATCCTTGGCAAACACAAAAAGGGGGACAGGAGGGCACCAACTTAGCACCACCTTAGGTAGCAACTCAGTTGGGTGCTTAGCACACCATGAGCTCATTTAATCCTAGTGACAGTGTGGCATGAACCTGGGCCTCTCTTCCTCCTTGGGCCCCTGAGTCTTAGATGGAATCCTGAGACCTTACCCGTAGGATCTGCTGCTGCTGTTGCCGCATGTGGTACTGCTGCTGTTGTTGCTGCTGCTGCTGTTGTTGCTGCTGCTGCTGCTGCTGCTGCTGCTGCTGTTGCTGCTGCTGCTCAGGCAGAATGGAAGTTGAGCGGACACCTGCCTGGACGCCCTGGGCACTCAGCGGAGTCATGGTACCCATAATGGGTGTCTGCTGCAGTGTCTGGTGTGAAAATCTCCAGAGACAAGAGATCCAGGGGTCAAGGCATGAGAGAGCAGGACAGTACAAAGGAAACTTTAACAAGTCACTGCATTCATTCTCTCTTGGTATTAACCAGAAGAGCCCTTTGCAGTCTGACAGACTTCTAGGTTAGGGAATAAGGTGCAAAGACAATGCTTCATTTTAGTGTCTTATATCCTTAATGGTTAGGAATTTTTCAATTCAGTTTTAGCTATTTTTCTCTTATGAAAAACAGTCTCAGCACATGACACATTCTATAAATACTCACTGAGGTTTTTTGTTGTTGCTGTTTTTCCCAGTAACATTTCAAATTGTCCTACTACTCCTTATGCCCTCTGTACCCAAATACTGGGGCAGTCTCTGGCTAGTTTCCCTGCTGCGTCTTGCATCTTCACTCATCTTCCCCTATGCATTCTATCTACTCATTCCACACTAATCTCTCAACCTGCCCAACCCCTCTATCACTGTCCTAATCAAAAGTTCTTTCTGGGATTGTATCCAGTGATAAAGCTCAGCATTCAGGGCCATCTATCAACCTGCTCTCTCTGAGCCTAGCCCCCATTACTTCTCAGCACAAATTCTACACTCCTTTCCATCTCCAACACTACTCATTCTGCCCCATGCCCCTGTTCATACTACATCCCCTACTTGAAATGCCTTTCTTTCTCCTCTTTTTCACAAATTCCAATCATAGGTACTCTTCAAAGGCCAACTCAGGTCTCACCACCTTCATGATTCTTTCTCCAGTGACTCAGGTCCACACTGATAGCATCCCACTTTTTGTGAATTTCCATTTTACTTCACAGCACCCAACTGCAGACCTGATTATATCTTTGCTCATAACATTCTCTAGTGTAATATTTTTACTCAACTAGAGTAAAAATTTCTTGTGGTGAGGGCTGTCTGTCTATCTATCATCTATTGCTATCTTTTATTTCAGGGAGTCCTACTTAGCAAGGGTTGGCCATAGAGTGACCAGTTAATCAGCCCACTCCCTAGTAGTGTTCTAAATCATAAGCTACAGAGCCTGAAGACACAGTTACTAGGTCTTAACTAGGTCTGACTAACATTAACCAGGGTATTCATTTGTTAATGCATCCTAGAGTTCAACCACTGAATACAGGCTTATCATATACTATGTCTATAAATCCCAGATCTTTTCTTCTTCTTCTTCTTCTTCTTCTTCTTCTTCTTCTTCTTCTTCTTCTTCTTCTTCTTCTTCTTCTTTTTTTTTTGGTATCAGGGATCGAACTCAGATCCTTGCACTTACGCAGCAGGCGATGAAACCACTGAGCTAAATCCCCGGCCCAGATCTTTTCTTATCAGAGTTGGACAAATGATTCCTCCTCTCTGGGCCTAAAAGTAATGCTGCAAAAACAAATGTGAGACCCCTCCAGCTCTAGCCTTTTGTTGTTATGGGTCACTTGGCCAGAAAAAGTGTTCTCAGTATCTCTAAAGAGTTCAGACCAGTCCCATCACCTTCAGGCATGGCTTTTCCAGATCAAATGCTCCCTCATACCTCAGTGTCCCTTCCCAACCCACAACTACTCTTGAGTACCTTTGAGTGGAGGTCAGTCCATGTCCATAGGTTGGGGCCTGTTGGTGCACATAGCCACTGGGCCGCTGTTGCAGGTGGCGGGTAGGATCTACAAGAGTAGGATTGGTAGAAGGGTGGGTGCTCTGATAAGGCTGGCTGGAGTAGCTGGGGGGCACCATGGTACCTGCGGGGCCTGTGTGTTGCTGCAGTCCCACATGAGAAACATAAGGAGTATAGCCCTGGTGGGAAGGAGGAGAGGAGTCAGGGGTACGAGTGTACACAGCACCTTGCCTTTATCTCCCAGATGCTCAGAACCCCAGGCCCTTACCTGGGAGGTCTGCAGGCCATAGGAAGAACTGGGAGTCATCTGATGGACAGATGACTGTCCCAATATCCCCTGGCTCTGCTAAGGAACAAAAGAGAAAAACTCAAACTCAGGAAATGTTTTCTGCCATGTCATTTCTTGTATCTCCCACACTGAGTGTCCTTGTGAAGATCCCAAGTATCTTCTCAGTCCTGTAACTTGTAAAAGCCCCTCTCCCCGGCAGCCCTCCCTACTGCCCCTCTCACTATCTTTGCCTGGAGCTGCTGTCGAAGGCGCTGTCCCTGGGGCACTGCAGGTTGTTGCTGCCGGTACACAGAGGTCTTATAAGATGAGGGTTCTAGGCCCATGACACCAGTCATGGTTGTGGGCAGCACTCCAGGGTAAGTTGGTCTGGTGGGGAGCTTCTGCATTGGTAACCGCACAGGGCGGTATGGGTCCACACGAGGGCCACCTGGAAAGGAGAGCAGACTGACCTCTCTGGGTTCCTCCTCCCTCCAGCCCTCTCTCTGAGTGCTAGTCACACACAGTGCCCCAGGGTAGTGGTGGAGTCCTTAGGTAGGAGGAATGTCCCTAGTGGCTGGTACTCACCTGCAGGCAGTGGCTGGTTCTGGGTGTACAGGCCTATGGAGCCCTGCCTGTAGCTAAGGTGGGATATGGAGCTAGGGTTCGCGTGGTGCAAGAGGTCTGGAGGCACTGTTACACCATAGGGGCCGCTCCGACCTGGGCCCATCCCATAGTCCTGCGTGGGTGGCAGAAGAGGAAGGTGAGGGGATTGTGAAGAAGAGGGGTGAGAAGGAGCTGCATTTACACTACTAATTTTTATTATGATTCTAATGATAACCCTTTCCACAAATACCCCATGCCTCCTACAAATCAGAAACTCATTCTCTACTTTTCACAAAGTCCTGAAGAGGGGCTGGGGAGAAGCATGGCTGAGGGAGGCACTGACCTCTGTCTTGGTGGCTGGCTGGCTACGCTTCTTGCCCTTAGTGGACTTCTTCTTGCGTTCCTCAGTGCTGGGTGGAGCGGCTCCTGGTTTGTCCGTTTTGGGGGGCTCAGGGGCCTTTTTCTCAGGCTCCAGAAGGGTGGGGGCCGGTGGCTCCTCATCTTCTGGTGGCAGTGGCAGTGGCTCCAGGTAGTAGGCACGAGGCCGGGGCCTCAAGTGTGTGTGGTAGAGTAGCAACCGCTGCTGCTCCTCCCCTCGAGCCACTCGCCGATCAACCCGGACTGTCCCAAACCAGCCCCAGGAGAGAGGTGCCGATGGCTTCAACCCCTCCAATAGATCCCAGGGAGAGAGTTTCAGTTTGGTAGAAACTTGTAGACCCTGTTCCAGAAAATGAGACAATCACCTGTTGAGACTTGGGAGAACAGAAAGCAGGTCTTGATAACTTGTAGAATGGGGTATATCTGTTGGCAATATTAAGAAAAGCTGTAGGTGGCTTTCAGTCAGGAGAGATGGTGAGGAAGAAAGATAGATGTGGACATGCAGGGATACACACACATACACGAGGAAAAGAGTCAATCACGGGAGGAAAAGAGAGGTGTGAAGGGAAAAGATGAAGCCAGGAGAGCAACAAGGAGGAGCAGTGGAGGCAGAGCCGGGAGATGCAGAGACAGAAACAGGACATAAGAGAAGAGAGAAGGAAAGGTGGGTAGAAGACAAATTGACATTCAGAGGAAAACAGAGAGCAAGAGGGAGAGAACAAAAGCAGGGACAGACTAAAGACAAGGCAGAAAAAAGAGAGACCAACAGAGTCAGATAGAGAAACTAGAAGAGAGAGAGACAAAGAGGCAGGTGGAGGGAAACAGAAAAAGGGAGAGTCAGGCAGAGAGCCTGATGGACAGACCAATGAAAAAGAGGAGAAGGAGAAGGATATATAATATGTGAAGGGGCTGCACTTAGAATTTTGTTTGGTTTTTTGACACAGGATCTTGCTATATAGTTCAGGCTGGCCTCGAACTCACTGTAATCCTCCTGCCTCAGCCCTCCAAGTGCTAGGATTACAGGTATGCACCACCACGCCCAGCTGCACTTTGGATTTTAAACTCTACCCTCTTTTTCCTTTCACTCTCAACTAAACACAATGATTATGGTTACTCATCAAATACTGTAAATGACAGAGGGGGAAAAGAAAAAAATGCGCACAGATGAGTGGTGGGGGAAGAGAAAAAACAAGAATAAAAGAAATAGGGCATCAGCCAGACAAATGTATGGGACAAGACAGGACACAGTGGGAAGAAGAGGGTGGGGTGCTAAGAAATGGTGGTATGTGAAAAGGGAGTGTGTGGGGAGGAGTCCAAGGAAAGAGGGTGGGACTCCAAAGAGTTTTCAGAGCCTGGAGGACTTGAGTGATGCGCCTGCCAGAGCTTCAAGGTTATTGCAAAAAGGCCGAGGGCATGGGAAAACAGTGGAACATGCCTCCTTCTTGAAGATGGAATCAAAACCAGCAATCTTGTTGCCCTTGGTGTCAATAAGGGAGCCCTGTGGCTCACACGTGATGACATCTCGGGTCGGCTTGGGCAGTGGCAGCAGTTGTCGAACCTTTTCCAGGCTGTCTGACTGGTGCTCCCCCAACTCCTTCTGCAGGCACAGGAAGATGAGACAAAGAGTTCAAAGATACAGAAAAGGAAGCATGGGAAGCCTCAGAGAATAGCACAAAGAACAGGGGTGGAGGGCTTAGGCCAGGATAAGTCCCTGAGACTGGATGGCAAATGCAGTCAGGGCAGAGAGAGCCGAGATCTTAGTACTCCAAAACCTTGCCCTTGCCTCCTCTGCTCACCTGCAGCTTCTTCACTAGGTTCATGTATGCACGTTTGTTCTCCTCCATACTGCCTTGAGAGATGCTAGACATGTCTGCAGCCAAGGTCCCGTTGATGAGTACACTCAGCATGTCCAACACCGTAGTAAAGAGCTCACTGTGATGGGAACCGGGGAGGGGTGTACCCAGAGAAGAAAGAAATTAAGAAAGAAAAAGGCGGCCCAGGGATTTAGCTTTAGTGGTTCCGGCACCTGCCTCGCAAGCGCAAGGTCCCGAGTTCGATCCCCGGTACCAAAAAAAGAAAGAAAAAGGCCTCCAGGGACAACACAAGCAGGGAGGGGTGTTCAACATGTCATCCCAAGGGCACCAAGACTGTGTGGGGAACCCAGGGTTACAGTACACAGTATCAGCCACACACTGATCTCAGCAGATCTTGCAGCTGGCATGGGAACAGGGGCCCCTTTGGGGTACAGAACTGCACTGCTTACTTGTTGGACTGCATGTCAACAGTGCCACTGATGATGATCTCCAGGAGGAGCACAGCCCACTCCGTGGTCTGCTGAGTGCTACGCTGCACCGTGTCAAACATGCCCCCTACCTGCCAGGACCACAGATCAGTCAGATGGCTTGAGGGAAATGGCCAGCTTAGGTTAGTTAGCGCCTGGGCTGGGAAGAGTTGGAATCCCTAAGATCCAGTTCCATTTGCACCTATCATTTGCTCCATGATCTTGGGTCAATGGGTGAATTCTTGACATCTCTAGGCCTATTTCCTTACTTATAAAATGATGGGATTTCATTCAACATTCCACAGTGGGTTTCTAGTTATTTATAGGGGCCCGCCAGAATCTAGGACACTGAGGGAGAGTCCCTGTAAGGATCCAAGGCATGCAACCTATTGGACCCTGACCACAGTGATCTGATTCCTTTAACAACTCTCAGGCCCTATAACCAAGGTTAACACTTGAACATTCCAAAAATCTGGGGTCTCCATCCTCATCCCTGCCCTCTCCAACTCAAACTTCTTTACTGCATTTCCAGCTCCACCTCCTTTCTTCTCCCCAGCTTCCCCCCTCACCAGGTTGAGCCGCAGTTTGAGTGCCTCGTGCATTAGCTGCTTTGGTTTGTAATCATCTAAGTACTGGTCATCTCGCCAATTATTCACAATCTACAATAGAAATAAGTTTAACATGCAACTCAGGGATCTTCTGGGTTTTTATCAGAAACTAACGAAAGTTTCAAGTACACAGTAGCCTCTTAGGTACATGCTTCCCTGCCCTCCTGTCCACCTCCACAGACCAAAGACCCATACCTGGTGCACCTGGTTGTACAGGGAGGTAAGGAGTCCCTCACGTTGTTCATCCTGCCCTTTCAGACATGTCAGCACCAGGGATAGGAAGGGTTGCTGGCTCAACAGGGACATGCTAGAAATGGAAGGGAAATGAGAAGAGAAGGAGGCAAGAAACATGGAGGAGAAAGAAGGAGAGAAGGTGAGAGGACAGGAAGGAAGAGTAGGGGAGGGGAGGAGAGGGTAGGGAAGAGAAGAGGAGCAAAGCAGAGTAGAAAGGACTATGGGTTGGGAATCAGGCAACTTCCAACCTCTTTCCTCAAAATCCCAGACTAAGATCTGGCTTCTTGCTCAGCCAAACCACTCTTATCCCTTGATTTGCCACTTCCCTATGATGTCTATTCTCAGCTCTGAGCCCCAAATTCTATTCTTCACTGGGCCTGCCTCCTCTCCTTTCTTAATCCCAGTGCCCCCACAAACCCTTTACCTCTTCTGTTTTTGTCGATCACGTTCTTTTCGAGAAGAGGAGCCTAGGTGCTGACCCTTCTCCAGTTCCTCCCCAGCAGCCTTTAATACATGCCCCTGTACAGAGGTGGGCAGTTTGGCGATGAGGGGGGCCACCAGCCATACACCAGAGCGTTCTAGAGAGCTATAGGACAGACAGAGGACACGGGGTTGTGGGGAAGTCTCCTTTCCCTGGACATGCACAGTATCTCCATGAGGTAGATATCACTCATGCAACTAATAGAGAAATTCTTGAGAGGATGAGTCCTAACATGTTTCTACCCAACCTGAGCACAGGTTTGGTCTTGCTGCTGCTGGGTATGTTGTTTGCCGTGCTTCCAGAAGATGACCCTGTCTCTGCCGACTGCTGGAAGACTTCGATTGTGGCCTTGGCGATGTTCTCCAAAAGGGAGTTCATCTCCTAGGGAGGATGAAAGGCACAGAGGTGCTAAAATAGGTAGCCAGGGGCAAAGGAAGACACCTGGTAAGAGGGATAGGAGATGAGGCTGAAGGAGAGCATCTGTAGAGGTTGACAGGAAGGTAGGGACACAGCTGTTGGGAATTGTTCTCTCCAGCACCTCCATATTTCTCTCATTCCCCACTGTCTTTTTTGCATGCCTCTTACATCTGTGACCCAAGAAACAGGCTCCACCACCAGCCCTGCCAAGCTTCTCCACAAGCTTGGAGTTGGCGTGTGAGAACTCCAACACTCCCAACCATTTCTCTTATCACCAGCTCCACATGCCTGCCATTTTCCCATCTCCTCTTATTTCTCTCAGTTCCAGAGCCTAAGGGTAGGACCTAGGTTTGTTTGTGGTGGTGGTGGTACTAGGGATTGAATCCAGGTCCTTCACACTGAGCTACAATGCCAGCCTTTTTTTTTAGACAGAGACTTACTAATTCATTAAGTTGTCTGGGCTAGGCTCGAACTTGCGATTCTCTTGCCTCAACTTCCCAGAGTGTTGGGATTATAGGAATATGCTGTCATACCTGACTAGAACCCAGGTTCTTCTATGATGGTTCACCTCCCTCAGGTGGAGGTGGGCATTGGAAAGTGAGGGTCTAGGAAGGCATTACTCACATTGTTAGGGGTCTGCTTGATCATGAGTTGCAGTTCCAGGGAAGACTGGCGCATGGTCCACTGGTCCAAGTTCTGTGGTAGAAGCCCCACCCCAAGCTAGTGATCACCATGTCACCCCCAGCTATCCAGCCCCCTATAACCAATTCCTAATTTCCCATAACTTTTTTTTGTACTGGGGATCAAACTTGGGACCCTGCACTTTAGAGGCAGGCGGTGGAACCACTGAGCTAAATCCCTGGGCCCCATAACTTATTTTTTAACAGAAACTTTTTCTTGGCAGGTGTGGTGATCCACGCTGTAGTCTCAGCACTTGGGAGGCGAGGCAAGAGGACTGTCATGGGTTTGAGACCAGCCTGGGCTACATTGTGACTTGAAGGTCAGCCTGAACTACATAGTGAGACCCTGTCTCAAAATAAACAAATAAACAAAAAAGGAACTTTTTCTTTTCTTTGTGTGTACAGTACTGGGGCTTGAACCACCCAGGGCCTTCGCACTGAGCTGTATCTTTAGCCTTTTACTTTTTATTTTGAGACAGGGTCTTGCTAAATTGCCAAGTTGCCCAGGCTGGGCTCCAATTTGCAATCCTCCTGGTTCAGTCTCCCAGAGAGCTGGGACTACAAGAGTGTGCCACCATGCCCGGCCAAATCTCCCATAACCTTAAATCACAGGTTTCTAGAGGTCTAAAAGGGATTGCTTTTTAGGAAAGATTATATTTAAATAATACAAAATAGCTGAAATCTAGCCTATTTTAAATGCAGTTCAAGATTTCACATCTTCCCCTAGATTCTTGTTCCACAGCTTCACATCTCTTTACATCAGAAAGTTCTGTGTAATTTTTTTTTTTGTAATTTTTAACCTTTAAATACTTGATATTAAAGTTGAAGCCTGCCTGCTGTTTTAATCAGCTGCTCAAAGTCCTTCACAAGGCCTTTCAAGACAATCTCTCAATGTCCTGTGGAGACTGGAAAGCTACTGTTAGTTAATCTCCCTTCAGCACTAACTCCTCTGACTGAAGAGACCTCATTCCTTGAGGTTTTCCTCCATGGCCTTATTTTTCCACCCTCCAATCACCTGAATGCCTACAGTAGTGGAAAGGGCACAGGCATACCTGGATTCACATACCAACTCTAAACTTACTAGCTGTGTAACCTTGGAGAAGTTACTTAACCTCTTTAAGCCTGTTTCCTCACTGGTCAAATAGAGATACTTATACCTGCTGCATAATGCTGTAAAGATTAAATGTGAAAATGTATGTACAGGGCCACACGTAGTACCTGTATACAAAGTTCATGCTTAGTAAGTAGTAACCATTTACTATTCAGTTACTGAGTCACCACCAAAGGGCCAAATACACAAACCCCAAGCCAGGCCTTTCAGATATTATGCCTCCCACTGATAAGCTACACTCACTCTCTTCAGGAAGCTATGTACTCACCTCACAGTCTTACTCTTGAGTCTAGACCATATTGGATTTATTCCCAAACCTGTGCTAGAGCTGTTACTCTCACCCCTTCTTCTACATCCTTACCTGTCTGTCTACTGAATTCCTTCTCTCTTCTTGACTTCCACTGCTTCTCAAGATGGGCCCCATTATTTCTTCCAAGACCTCCATTACCTTGGCTTACCTGAAGAATACGCTTAATGCGCTGCCGTTGAGGGTTTTCCCCATCCTCATTGTCCAATAGTCGATGTGGGTAGCAGATGAGCTGCATGAGGCGCTGGGCCTGAGCACTACTCAACACTGGATCTTGTAGGTCATTGCTGTCCTCACACAGCGACTTAAGGCAACGTTCTCCTACCCATTCCTGAGGAAGCTGATAATTAGGGACTGGGGGCAACCAGTAAGGGGGGTTAGGAAGAGGGATGTGCTGGGGTTGGGTAAGGGACCTGATGTATAGTAGGGAGGTGGTGCTATCATGGTCTAGAAATAGGCCTATATTATACAGAGGCATTTAGAAGGTGTGGGAGGAAGGTGGGACTAACCTGTTGGCAGATGCTGCGCAGCACGTACTTGGCATAGACATCCAGACTAGCTGTCTCCACAGAGATGTTGCGGCCACCCTGCCTCCGACCGCTGCTGCCACCTCCTCCCTCCTCCTCTGGAAGTTCTTCTGTTCCTCCTGTCACAGTGAAGCCTGAACCCTTCAGTTCTGCATCCCCTATGGTTCAGGGTTGGAGATAGGGAGGGCAGAATGAGATCAGAACACTGTGCAGAGGTCCACCCTGGGCCTACAAAGGCAGAAACTCCCCAAATGCTGCCCTATGGGATAGAAATATATTTCTTACCCTCCTCTCCTCCCCAAGATCAGAGAGATCACCTTCGGGAGGGAGAAAGACTGTCTCTTGTAGTTGAGCTCCACCCTATACACACTTCTGGCACCACTCCCTTCCTACCCCGTACCAAGTACAAACACAGCCTTGAGAACAGCAAACACAGCTCCATCCACGATGCGGTTCTGGGAGGCAGCCAGCAGGTGGCGGTCACAGGAGGAGCGGATTCCGACTGTAGGCTTGTCTGGAGAGGAAGCTGAAGTCAGGGGAACCAAGAACAGGAAAAGGGGGAGGGTGCACTTTCTACTGGCACCTGGCTTGGATCAGGGTCACTTACTTCCATCAGACTGGCAAGGATTGAGTTGTGGTGTCTTGAAAAGGTGGAGGAGGATGCGGCAGGTGAGCCGAGCACCTGGCTCTGAGTCCTGTTCACTACAAGCTAAAAGGAAGACAAAATAGATCTGGAAAGGATGAAATCAAACTGTGTGTGTGTGTGTGTGTGTGAGAGAGAGAGAGAGAGAGAGAGAGGGAGAGAATGTGTATGGAGGGGGCAATAAGGGGGAAGACGCAAGGTAAGATGAAAGAAAAAGCAGACAACTGTTACGTAGTTGAAATATCAACTGATGGAAAGGTCATGAGCCTAGGGCTGTAGCTCTGTACAGAATACATGCTGAGAACACACCAGGCCCTGGGTTCCATCCTCAGAACATCACAGACACACAAACACACAGAAAGACCAGGGTTAGAAAACAGGCCTGGAGGGGAGGGGAGGCAAAAAAAAAAAAAGAAAAGAAAAAACAGGCCCCTTCCAGTCTTGGGTACACCAAAGCACTGGCCTAGTAAGGGCCAAGGAGCCACAGCAGTGTCCCACACCAATGAGAGCACAGTCATCGTGTATTGAAATGTGGGGTTCAGAAATTCTAAAGGTTATGGATTGGTAGTTCACCGGCATTAAGGAGTGAAGGGATGGCTGCACAGCGAATCAGATCTTCCAGGAGCAAACACTGCCGAGCAATGAGGATGGCAACAAAAGTAGCCAGGGAGTCATGGAAAGACAGGTCACTGACCTGGAGGAAAGAGCAGACAGATGTGGCAGCTCAGTGTGGAGAGAGGGCACCCACTCAAAGTGGCATGCCTCCACACAGAACTGACAAGTTTGATGACTATGACCAGACCCCTGCTCTGCTAACTCCCTACCCCAAATCTCACATCTACATTGCAGAGGAGATCATTGAAGCCACAAGTGCCATTGTTAGAGGAGCAGCACAATGCCTTAAGTACTCCTAGCCACTCTGCACTCAGCGACTTGCAGTAGCCCGTCAGCTCTGCACACAGGATTGCGATGTCATTCACCCTAGGGAAAAATACAAGTGCCCTCAGGAAAGGCCTTCCTCCACAAAACCTCAGACTGTAGTTTTTCATCTCTGCCCCAGTAGTAATCAAAGGTGCAGTACCTCCCAGGTATGTCAGCCCCAACACCAGGCTGGAGTGTGACACCCATTCCTCAGTACACCACATGCTCCGTACCTATCGGGATCATGGTGCCCCACACAGACGTGCATAAGGGCATTGCAGACAAAACTGTAGCGGTTAGCAGGGTTCTCACTAAGACTCTTGCCTAGCCCCGTGTAAGTGAAGGTATGAGCAGCAGGGTTCTCCAGGGTGTCGATCATGAACTCGGGTGCCCAGCGCATATTGGATTCCGATGGCTCCACATTGCAGTAAATGGTGTTTTTCACCTTTGAGCAAAAGTCGCTGCAGGGGTGGGGAAAGGAGACAGCAGTGTTGAATAAGGTCCACTGGGGTACAAGAGTGGTCAGCAGAAGGGAGAATAGAAAAAAAGGCAAGGGGCAAGCGACTTTGGGATAAGAAAAAGGGAGATGTGCCACAGCAAACTGGGAATCAAAGGAGCCATGTGAAACTGAGGAACAGGGAAGGGTCTTGGGCGGCAGAAGGGCTGCTGTCAGTAATGCAATGGCACATGGGAGTACATGGCCTATAACTGACCCTGAGTAGACAACAGGGTAATGGGCTGTGCTCTGCTCCTGAGGTGGATGGTAATGGGAAGGAGATGGGACTAGGTCCCACTCTCTACCCCTTACCTCCCACCTCTCTTACCTGAAGAGCTCCCCAAATTTGCTCTTTAAATGGCTACAGGAGGTGTACAGATCATAGAGATATGCAAGGATACAGCGTTCTGCAGAGGAGCCATCTGACCGGTTCATCCCATGCTTCACTACACCACACAGCCTGTCATAAGAGGCAGGGTTGGGAGGATCAACAGGTGGTGTACAGGGCTGAGGGCACAGAGGCCCTCTGAAGCAGATTGGTAACATCATTCCTTTCTCAACTGCACAGCAGGCACTTCCCAGGGTGAACCCACATGTTCCTCCCAAGCAACTTCACCAGCATTTGCCAGAGCCCTGTATGTTTCAGGTCTTCTGAAGCTCTGCTTACCCCTCAAAGACCTGTGCCATCTGGTCCTGGTTGAGGATGAGGCAGGCATGATAGTGGCGTAGGACGGCCACGATGCACAGGCACAGGCTGGTAGTATAGCTGCCTACCAGATCCGAGGACTTGAGAAGCAGCTCAGCCTCAACCACACTCAGTTCATTCAGCAGCTAGCGCAGTGAATGGGGGTGAGAGAAGAGAAGATGCCCTTCATGTCATACATAACCCCCTTTTCTGGGAGGAACCTGGCAAGGCCAGGCCTGAGCCCCTTCCTACTAGAGCTGCCTTAACACACAAGGGCCCTATTTCTACATGCCAATGTCTTTTGTTCTATTAATGACACCTCTAACCAGTCTCCAGGACAGTTCTATGAACTCCACTGTGGGAGGATGTTCTGTACCCAATGTTCTTATCTGTCTCTTGGGCCACCCCAGGGAACACTTAAGCCTCTATTCCTAGTCTTAGCTCATGTACCACTCCCTCTGTGCTAGTCTTTCTACCCCCTCCAAACAGCCTGGGAAAATGGCTGGAATCTCTACTCCTGTCCTCATGACCTTACGTAGCACAGAATTCCTTCCTTTACTCTTATCTCCCCTAACTTCCCCACCTGAATGGCAAAGTCGATGAGGCCACTGATGCTGAGTGAATATTCCATGAGGTCGAAGATGAACTGCACATGCTGCACCAGAGGCAAGTGGTACGACATGCCAAGGGCAAAGCTTGTGATCTGCTCCAGAACATTCCGGGAGACCTGATAAGGGCAGTGGGAGTGAGACAGGAGTGGAGGGAGTTAAGAAGAACCAGGGAAGCAGGAAACCAACAATGGTGGAAGGGGATGAGACCAGCAGGCTTGGCCTGCCTAGGGGAAAAAAAGATAAGAAAAACAGGACAGGAGGCCAGAATGTGGGAAGGGGGGCTGGGCATAGGCCCACACCTGAGCCGTGACCTGGTGTTGGTCATAATGTGAAAGGTGCTGGAACTTAGCAAAGATATCTTCCGCAGTGGGGAAGGCTTCAGGCCGGTTGCGGCGCCGCTTCTGCCCATCCTCCCCACCTGAGGGGACAGTTGAAAGAGATGATTCAGAACAGAAAGATAACTAGTTGACTGAGGGTGGGCGGGTGGGGTATGGAGAAAAGGCTATGGGAGGGAGAGGAAACGGGAAGGGAGGGAGGGAGGGAAGGAAACGGGAAGAAGGGAAGGGCTGGGGGGATGAAGGGAAGGGAACAGTGAAGAAGGTTTAGAGGACCACAGACTATGTGGACTTTAAAGGAGTATGTACAGGGAGGTGCTAGGTTGAGGGAGGGAAGGGTGAGGGAGGAAGGGGAGTATGGGGCTTACTGTGAGGTACCTAAGAATGTCAGGTCTCCAGGATTCAGAGGCACAATAGGAGCAAGCTGGTCTGCAGAGGAGGGGAATGAGGGGGGAAGTTTCAAAAGGACTAGAGCTCTCAGGAGACTCTAAGAGACAGGACATTGGGATATGACTGGGGAGTTCCCTACACTGGGGATGGGAAGACTGACTAGGGCATTCTCTGAGGGAGATCTATTTAAGGAGCCTCAAACCCACCAGTTTCTGCTGTTCCCTTTCGGTTCAGAACCTTCAGAATATCCTTGGTGATTTTCTTGATGGCATGACGGGCGTCATCGCGCTGCTTTCCCACCCCAAACAGTACGACCAACCGCTGGTTGCACTCATGGCTGCATGACTCCTCCTGCATCCCAGCAGTACCATCAGACCCAGCACAGACCTGTCCTCTTCCTGCAGCATGCTTGCACCCTCGGTGCCCCTGTGCTCAAGCTCCTTCCCAGCACACCCACACCCTCAAGAACAGCTTCAACTGCTCAGCAATGCCTTAGACAGAAATCCGAGCTCAGAACAGATAGTCACAGGTATTGGGGAACAGTACCTGGGGAATGGGGAAGTGTGTAGCATACTGCACATGTCGTGGCTGGTCATAAAGAATACCAAGGGTCCCTTCGATCTTCTCCTTAGGTGGGAGCTTCCCCTCCTTCTCGACATCTGGTTTCTCAGGGGATGGGCTGCCCTTCCCCTCACAGGGCATGGTAGGGGAGAACAACTAAGAAAGGCAAAAAGAGCAGGATTTAGAAGAAAAGAGGCTGAGGAAGTACAAAGAAACTCCAAAAAGAGACATAATGAGAAGATCTAAGGAGCTGGATTCTTCCCTACACAGGATCTCACTTACTGAGAAATCAGGCTTCTCCATGTCCTCAAAGAGCACACTGGAACTAGGGTCAATGTCCATAGATTCTGAGAGCCCTGGATCCTGAGGGCATAGAACATAAGCAAAGCAGCTTTAGTCCTATGCAGCTGCTCCCCACTGAATAGAAAAGCTCATAGAAGGGCCGGGGATTTAGCTCAGTGGCACTGCACCTGCCTTGCAAGCGCAAGGTCCTGAGTTCAATCCCTGGTACCAGAAAAGAAAAAAAAAGTTGATAGAAAAACTGGAGAGAAGAGATCCAACTAGCGGAACCACAGGTTCTGGACTCAAACCTTGTCTAATCACTTAGCCAGTATGGGCTTTAGTTTCTATAAGCTTTAAATGGGAAATAAGAATAGCTCACAAGGCTGTTGGAGAAGATGAAATGAAAAAACTGATGTAAAGGGGATGGGGTAGAGCTTGGCAGTAGAGCACCTGCCTAGCATGCCCAAGGCCCTGGGTTCAATCCCCAGCACTAAAAAAAAGAAGAAAGGCTGATACCATCAGGCACAGTGGTGCATGCCTGTAATCCCAGCACTGGAGGCCATGAGTTTGAGGCCAGCCTGAGCTATACAGTGAGCTCAAGGTCACCCTGAACTGCAGAGTGAGACCTTATCTCAAAAATCAAAACAAACAGCCGGGGATTTAACTCAGTGGTTTCGCTGCAAGCAAAAGCAAAAGCAAAAGCGCAGGGACCTGAGTTCAATCCCCCGTACCAAAAAAAAAAAAAAAATCAAAACAAACAAACAAAAAAAGCTGATATGAGAGTGCTTTGTAAACCAAAAAAAAAAAAAAAAAAAAAGGTTAATAATACCCTTCTTGGGCAAAACAAACTCTCAGAGACCTCTGGGAGCTGTGAAGATGGCAATGTCAAGAAACAATCAAGGGCAATGAGAAGCCCATTCACCTCCAGCTTGCTACTGCTACTGCCTTCAGCCTCCTTGCGCTCTGCGTCATCAGCAGGATCATCAAAAGGAGAGGGAGGCCGGGGACCAGGGGCTCCAAACGCAAGGTCTCCTCGGGAGATGAGAGTGCAAGTATACATGTTGTGGGAGAAAACATCATGTCGAATCAGTTCACAGAACAGTAGTACCAAGTTAAAGAATTCTACTCGCTCGCTCTCACTTCGGGGATCCGCTAGGAGGAAATGAGGAGACATATGAGTTCACAAAGCACAAAAGGGGACAGAAAGAGGGACACACCTTAGGCATGATGCTCTAGAGCAGTGATGGTGAACCTTTTACAGCTTTCAATGATAACAAACAGCTCGCTGTGGCATGCATGTCATTGGCTCACCACCATTGCTCTACAGTATCTCAGTGGTACACTCCTGAGGCAATAATAGGAATGAGCACAAAAAATTCCAGACTGTTGAAGGACAAGAGTATAGTTGGTTATCCCACCTGCTGCTCCACATATCATCTTAGCAAGGAATAGAGCATCTCTGCAGCTCTTTATAAAATGAAAATGGTTTAATCATATGTTCTTGTTTTTATTCTTGTCTGTATTTCTCTATTCTCTTAAAGTGTAAGATGATCAGGGAGTAGAATTATGTCTAAAAGTCATTCTGCATAGAGCCCAAGACTGAAATATAGACCTTAAGGCCCTTAATTGTTTTCTGATGACAGTGGCAGGTAACTGAGACTTGGCAGAGAAACTAAAGGGTAGCAGGGGTTCATACTCAGCATAGGAGCCTGTGTATCCAGAAACTGCAGGAGGACATCCTGGAAAATGGGAGCACTAGGAGCAGAAAGAGAACCAGAGGCAACGGAACCCTTCTCATCTGCTGCTTCGGACTCTCCACAACGCTGCAAGATGAGAGAACAAGCTGAGGATTGACTTTTCCCTGTTTTTTGGGTTTTTTTGAGACAAGGTCTTGCTATGTAGTTCAGGCTGGCCTTGAAATCACTATGCAGCCCAGGCTGGCCTCGAACTCCCAGCGAACCTCCGGCCTCAGACTCCTGAGTGCTGGGATTACAGGTGTGCACCACCACACCTGGCTGACTTTTCCCAGTTTCTACACTCTGACGTGTGACCCTGGAACTCCCTCCTATGCCATCTCCACCCCATACTTTTCACCTCTCCTCCCCTTCTGTCCTTCATTTTCTTTGCCACCTGCCAATTGCAGCCTTGATCTCTTCTTTAAGCAGGTTATCAGTATGTACCTTCCTACTTCTGCCTCCTGTTCTTAACATTCCCTGTAGATTTTCTGTCACTTCTTTATTCTGTTCTCACACCATCAACTTTTCTTATTGTCATTTTTTGGAGACAGTCTTACTATGTCCTTCGTGCAGGCTCTGAATTCACTATATAGCCCAGGCTAGCCTCGAACTCCAAGTGATCCTCCTGCCTTAGCTTCTCGAGGGCTGGGATTACTGGTATATGCCACCATGCCTGGCATACACACCATCAACTCTGAACCCCAATCTCTCTGGGGTCTCCACTCCCAGTCAGATTCCTTCCCATTTGACCAATCTCATTCTCTTATCTCTGTTCCCTAACCTCGGCCTCAATCTCTGCCTGTCTCTTCTCCAGAAGTTTGGCTACCACCATAGCACGATGCCGACCAGAACGTTTGCAGCTGACAGCCCATTCGCATAGTAATGATACCACAGCATCATCATCTGAGGAGATCTGGAGACCAAAGGAACACAGGGATGAGTAAGGTAGGGTTGAAAACAAAGAAGTGAGTTCCAATCTCTTGATGATTGGGCCCCATCTTAAGACATCCTGGGCCCAGGAAGATATCTCTCCATACGTCCCCTGGTTTCAATGCCTCACCACACTTTCCCCTCATACAGACAATTCCTCCTGCAATGTTTTTTGTTCCTTCTAGTGCCTGTCTTGCTCACCTCATGTCCATCTTTGCTAGGTCCCAGTCCAAAGATTCGGTTACAAAGGGAGTCAAGAGAGTTGCTGAAGTCAGAGCGTTCAAAACTATGGCTGTCCAGCACTTCCAAAGTATGGAGCACCCGTCCAATGGTGAAACCTGAGGAGGACAAGCAGTAAAGGGGACTTATCCAGAGCTCTGATGCATTATGACTCTCAGATCTCTATGTCTTTACCACCCCATTCTTCCCCCAAATATACTCCCTATTATCTGCCCTCTGATACCCACCTGCAGTGGCTTCCTGGCACTTATCAAAAGACCAGCGAACCTCAACTGCCTGTCCTCGTTCCTTGATCTGCTGCTCAATCTCTCGTAACTTTGCACGAACCTGCAATATCAAAAAGGAAAGCTTTAAGGATGTACCCAAGGCATGCAAAAGACTAAAAGAGCACTACCAGACTCCAAATCACTATTTCTGGAAGAGAAATTTAGCCCCATATCCCTTCCTGGGAGTACGAGGCTACTGGTCAGACTTACTTGCTGAGTAAAGGCACTATTGCCCTCTGGCATGGGCAGGTTGGAAGGGGCAATAGGCAGGTGGTCAAGTGGCGAGCCCGTCTTGATTCTGCTATCAGTCAGTGAGTAGTGCCAAACCAAGGCACTAGGGCAACACAGGAGGATGGTCTGGCAGACAGAAACAGCTAAGTCAAACTCAGTTACTATGGCTGCCTCTCAGAAATCCCATAAGACCCAATCCTTAGGTTTCAGATCCAAGGTTACTCTAAGTTTCTGGGTTTTTTTTTTTCGCTTTTTTTATTAATAAATTTTGTTTTATCCCTTTTTTCTGAGACAGGGTCTCACTGTGTAGTTCAGGCTGGCCTTGAACTCACTATGTACCACAGGCTTCCCTCAAACTCATGGCAATCCTCCTGCCTCTGCCTCCCCAGTGCTAGGATCACAGGCCTGTGCCATCACGCCTGGCAGTATCAGTTTTTCTTTGTTACGGGGGACTGAACTCAGGACCTTGCACTTTCGAGGCAGGCGGCAGAACCACTGAGCTAAATCCCCAGCCCTGTTTTATCCCTTTACCCCCCCAAATCCCCTCAAGCCCCTTTGTTTCCATTTTTTCCATTTTCACCTTTTCTCTTGTCCCTTCCTTTCTCCCTCCCTCCTTCCTTGTTCGCCTTCCCATTTGAACCAAGTTTGTTTTTTGAGACAAGGTTTCACTATGTAGTTCAAGATGGCCTTGAACTCTCTATGTAGCCCAGGCTGGCCTCGAGTGATCCTCCTGCCTCAGCCTCCTGAGTGCTGGGATTACAGGTCTTAGCCACCATGCCTGGTTTAAGTTTCTGAGTCAGCCAGCAATCCATTCCTGATCTCCCTCCCTGCACCTACTTTCCTAAAAGGCTTTGGGCCTTCTATTTAGCCCTGGGAGAGGCTGACCAGAACCCCTAAAAGGGAACTAACACCCCAATCTCCAAGTGAGTACTCAATGCCCACTCCCACTTTCAATTTGGAACCAACCCATTTTCCAGGGTGGGCACTCAGTCTTCTTAGACTCTTAATACTTTTTTGAGTCCACTTAGTACCTACCTGTAAGATACAGCTGAGGCCAAACACCAGAGGTCGGTGCTGAGGGCACATAAGGAGGTCACTAAAGGGTGTTGAGGGTGTGTTGCTAGTTGAGGGCTGAGGGGCAGGGGTGTTGGGCAGCGTGCTTGTTGACTGAGTAGATATAACATGAGATGAGTGGCTGCTGACACCATCCAGCTGCAGGGCCAGTCTCCGGGTACAGAAGTAAGCAAGGCGGCGGGACAGGTATGCAGACTGAACAAATTCCCCAGAGTACTGTGAAAACAGGACCATCAGAGCTCATGGTTCTCTTCAAGGGACACTGCTCTAACATCTTAGGCTTCCTCAAATCCACCCTAGACCCCCCCAGATCCTAGGCCTTACTCGAAGCAGTAGGGGCAGTAGCAGTTTAAGCAATTCATCCTCTCCAGGGCGGATTTTCTCAAAACATTCAAGTACCCAGGTCAGGAACTCATGTCTGTCCAGCATCCCATCCTATAGGTACCAGGAGTGGGAAGAGGATTAGTTCAGCCCAGCGACTATTAGAGATGAGGCAGATAAGGCAAATGAAATGAAAACTGGGGCAAGGCGGCAGGCAGATCCATTCTATACCAGCAGAGTGCAAGATCAGGCTCAATCCAATGCTCCACATATAACATGGCCTCCTCCCTACCTGAAACATGAACATGGCCAGCTTCTCATTATAGTCCCATTGCCTGATTGCCACTTCTACATCATGGGGCAAGGGTCCTATCGTGGAACTACAGCCTCCACTTCCTGCAGGCCCTGGCCGGTAGTATTCAGCCATTTTCTGTAGTTGCTCCCATAAGTACTTGGTGATGATCTGAGTCCATTCTAGAGAAAAGATAGAATGGGGGTTATTTGAAACTATCTTTCTGCTTAGAATACCTTCTATCCCTATCTCTACCTCCTATCACCACAGTTGTAAATTTTATTCATCCTTAGCCTCTAAGCAAATGCCACCTTCTCAAAGTCTTCCCAGGTATCCCCAAGAGAAAGAAATCTTTCTGCACACTGAAGTCTCAAAAAACCTTCTGTCTCTTTTTTCATTTTCCTTTTTTGTGGTATTGGGGACTGAACCCAGGGAACACTGAGCTATGTCCCCAGAACATTTAAAAAATTTTTGAGACAGGGTCTTCCTAAGTTTCCCAAGCTGGCCTCAAACTTGTAATCCTCCTGCCTCAGCCTCCCGAGTACCTGGGATTACAGCCATGCATCATAGTCCCCAGCTTCTTTTTTGGGGGGTACTGGTGGTGGTGGTACTGGTATTTGAACCCAAGGCCTTCACACTAAGTTACATTCTAGAACTTTTCTGGGGATTGAAACCAGGACCTTCACACTGAGCTACATCTTCAGTTCTTTTAAAAAATTTTTATTTATTTTTTTTTGGAGGGGTGAGACAGGGTCTTGTTATGTAGTTCAAGCTGGTCTCAAGCTCACTATGTAGCCCAGGGTGGCCTTAAACTTCCTCCTGCCTCAGCCTCCTGAGTGCTGGGATTACAGGTATGCACCACCACACTCGGCTGTCTAAAAATTTTTAAATTTGGGGGCTGGGGACTTAGCTCAGTGGCACCGCGCCTGCCTTGCAAGCACAAGGTCCTGAGTTCCATCCCCAGTACCCAAATAAAAAATTTTTAAATTTTGACACAGAGACTTGTTAAGTTACTCAGTTATCCAGGCTGGGCTTGAATTTGTGATCTTCCTGCTTCAGCCTCCCTGAATGCTAGGCTTACAGGCATATACAAGCATGCCTGGCTCTGTCTCTTCTTTGATATCCACCATGTTCTATATTTAATTATGTTATCAGAACATGTGCTTTTCAACCCCATTAGACTATAAGCATCCTAAGTAAGGGCAGGGATTATATACAGGTCATTTTTATAGCTCAGTATCTGAACACAGTAGGTAATCACATTACTTGATGTCAGGGCTGGGGGTACAGCACAGTGGTTGAGTGCTGGCCTGGCATTGACGAGGCCCTGAGTTTGATCCTCAGTACCAGAAAACACAAAATCAAAATAAATTACTTGATGTTTACTGAGTCCAAGACACAAGCAGAAACAAAGAATATAGATTAGAAAGGAAATGGGGATTTAGCTCAGTGGCACTGCACCTGCCTTACAAGCACAAGGTCCTGAGTTCAATCCCTGGGGGGAGGGGGGGATGATGCCAAGGGGCTATCACTCCTTGAAGTCATCAGTGGTACATCCAGTGTTAGAAATTACTCACCCATGAAGGGGTCAACGACCTGTCTCTTCTTAACCTTGTTCTCAGACATTGCTGCATAGTAGGCACAAGTCATCTTAATGAGCCAGGCAGCCCGCATCACAGGTACTGTGTATTTGGCTAAGTACCCAAACACTTCTTCCTTCTTACTGAAAATGGGGACCTGGATGGACATCACAAATAGCGAGGTCTCTGTTACCCCATGAACTGATATTTATGTAGCTTAATCTGAGAATAGGGGGTTACTTGGTACCAACACTCCCCCCATGGTTTTAAGAACAGGAAAGAGTACCTCACCTTTTTGGCTAGTTGTGTCAGTGGTTTGGTGCCAGCCAGGTCAGTGAACCAGGTGCTAATGGCAATCTGGGATCGTGTAGTCACTAGCCAGAAGTGGTCCTTCTGGTTCACTTGGGGCCTCCTGCGACCAGTATCAGGGAGCGTGTTACAACGCAACTTCTCTGCAATAATGCTGCTGAAGTTGGAACTGATCTGAGGAAAGAAAACTATACCTCAGGGTGGGAAGAAGGGGCAGACAGGTGGTCCTGCCTATGATGGGAAAATGACAACGTGACAGGGTTGGATTATGAAGGCACACTGAAGCCACTTAGGTTGTTCCTTTAAGTCTTCCCAACCTAGGGCCATTGCTCCTTCTCAGATTTTTCTAGCCTTTTCCTTCAGCCTGGCAGGACTGTCTCACCTTGGCAGGATTGAAGTTGACGTTCTTGGCACTGCCATGTTCATCCCCAGAGACAGCAGGCTGGTTATTGAAACCTTGTTTTACATTCAAGGCCGTCAGTTCATCCTGAGGCAGGAAAATGGCATTTTAGCTTTTTTTTTCCCTTGGGAGGAGGTTGTGGAAGAGGAGGGCAGAAGAGAAGTGAACACGGAGAAAGGGAGGTGGAGGACTCTGAGTAGAAGGCATTATTATTTAAAGCTAGGGCCTTATATTCCTTTGGACCCCACCCTCGCCCCCACAAGTCACTAAGATTCCCAACCAACCAGAGCTCCCTCAACATCACTCCTCCTCATGAAGCTGCCTGAGACAACTTTCTGAGGTGTGTGCGCGTAGAGGGGGCGCCTCTGGCTCGGCCCCACCACCATTCGCTATTTATGTCTTGGAACCCTCCCACCATCCCCTGCTCTCCTACACCGGCCCACTTTACTCTTCCCCCTTTTGGGACTTTTGCTCCCACCTAATCGCCCCGCCCCCCTTCCCCAAATTGTCAATGCAAATCACTTGCCCTGGCCCCTTGGAAGTCCGGATTTTTTAACGCACCTCCTTCTGTTTGGGATCTTGAGGGTACACATCGGGAGGCCCCAGCCGCGGCCGCTTCAGGGGCCGGTGTTCGTAGCTCAAGATCCCGAAGGCCGCCATCTTGGCCAGCCCTTAGCGCCAGAGGCGCCAGCAGGGCCAAGCTGGGGCTGGGTGGGGGGCGGGAGGAGGGAGGAGGGAGGAGGGAAGAAGGAGGAGGGAGGGAGCCGAAAGGGGGGTGCTGGTTGGGAGGACGGCGGCCGAGAGACAACGAGGGGGCACGTTAGAAACTCTCGATTATTGCCGGAAACTACCGAACGTAGCCGAGGGACGCCGGGAACCCTCCCATAACGCCCACAGCAGAGGGGGCGTGGCCCGACCCGGCGTGGGGCGGAGCTACGCACCCCAAGGGCTTTTCAGTCCTAAAGGTGGAAAGTCAGTTTCCACCTTAGCAAAAACCAGCGAAGCCTTCGTGAGCCCTTCGTGAGCTACGTGTGGTGGCGGAGATGCAGACTTTTTTTTTTAATTAGTACATGTTTGCAGTACTTAATGTTTACATTCTTTATGTGGAGCTACTACAGGTACATAACACTCTTAATTCCTTTTTCATCCCCTTTCCGTCCACCCACTCCATCTCTTGATTCCCTTCCCATTTGAGAGACCTATCTCTTGGAGGTGCAGACTTGCAAAGGGAAGGCAGCCAAGGTGGAGAACTTTGGCTGGGACTGGGTTCCTATTGTCTAGGTCCGTTCTTGGCCTAGAATAGGTTCAATATTTGCATTGTTTAGGAACTTTTAACTTATTTAATTTAATTAATTAATTTTGAGGCAGGGTCTCCCTATGTAGTTCAAGTTGACCTTGAACTCGCTATGTCGCCCAGGCTGGCCTCAAACTCCCCGCCTCAGCCTCCTGTGTGTTGGGATTACAGGCGTGCTCCACCACGCCCAGCCAGAAACTCTACCTTTTACACTTAGTTTCTTGTTTTTTTGGGTTTTTGGGTACTGGGAATCGAACTCGGGTCCTTGAGTTTGTGCAGCAGACAGCGAAACCACTGAGCTACATCCCCGGCCCTACACTTAGTTTCTCAATAGTGGGTATGCTGAGGCCGGGGATGTAGCTCAGTGGCACCGAGCCTGCCTGGCAAGCGCAAGGTCCTGAGTTCTATTCCCAGTACCAAACACACACAAATAATGGGTATAGTAATACCTCTGGATAAGGGTATGCTAATATTTCCCTCAAAGGACTGTTGTGAAGATTAGGAACTGTATGCCCAAGAAAGCACCTGTTGGGCTGGGGATTTAGCTCAGTGGTGCTGTGCCTGCCTCGAAAGTGCAAGGTCCTGAGTTTGATCCTTGGTACTGGAAAAAAAAAAAAAAGAGCACCTGTTAAAATCTGAAACACTAGCTCTAATCCCTCAAGGCCATTATAGTCTCCATGAAGATTCCTAATCTTTTTTTTTTTAGTTTACTAACCCTTTAAAATACAGAGGAAGGAGCTGGACATGGTGACTGAAGGCCTGTAACCCCTGCACTCAGGAGGCTGAGGCAGGAGGATCACCACGAGTTCAAGGCCTCCCTGAGCTGCATAGTGAGTTCAAGACCAGCCTGGACTACATACACAGCAAGACCTTGTTTCAAAAAACCAAACAAGCAAAAAAACCCCACTCCCTCCCCCCAAAAAAAAACTATCTCAGAAAAACAGTACATACAAAACTTTGAATTTCCTGGGAGATTCTTAGATGCCTTGAAGTGCATCCATATATCCTTGAAGTGTCCACGAACAAATGTGTGAACCTTTGCTCTGGTGAAAGAGGCACCTACTGTGTTGCATGATTTTCAGAGATTATCTCCTTTAATCCGCAGAGGGGACCATGATTTAAGGATTGATAAATTGATTTCCAAAGAGTGAAAATTCGCTTGCCTGCTATTATACAACTACTGAGTAACAGAGCTGGGACTAGGATTTTTTTTAAAGTCAGAATCTCACTATGTATTTCTGGCTGGCCTTGAACTCACTGTATAGCCCAGGCTGGCCTCAAACTCAACACGATTGCCCTGCCTCAGACTCCTGAGTGCTGGAATTATAGGCATGTACTGCCACACCTGGCTAAGGACTCTTTCTTAATTTCAGAGCCAATATTCTTGATTCAGAGCCAGCGTGCCATAAGAAAAGTAACAATGGCCGATGGCCTGGCATGGTGGCACATGCCTGTAATCCCAGCATTTTGGCTGGCTAAAGCAGGAGGATCCCCACGAGTTTGGGGCCAGAGGACTATGTAGCAAGACCCTGTCTCAAAAATCCAAAAAAAGTAACAAAGGTAGGCAAAAATAATAAAAGTAACAAGAGCTGGGGATGTAGCGCAGTGGTAGAATGCTTGCCTTGGGAGATCCTGGGTTCTATCCCCAGCATCACACACACAGAGTAGTAATAATAACAGTCTAACAAAAACAAAAATAAATAACAGCCTGGAATGGTGGCAGACATCTGTAATCACAGCACTTTAGGAGACTAAGGCAGGAGGATGCAAATTCAAACCAAGCCTGGACAATTTAGTGACTTAATGAGACTGTCTCAAAAAAATTTTTAAAAATGGGGCAGTGGTGCTGGGAATATAGCTCAGTGCAAAAAATCTGGGTTCAATCTCCAGTTCAACAAAAAATAAAACAAAAATTGAATCACCACAATGGGTGAAAAATTCTGATTGGGGAACAAAACATTGGTAGTGGAAATAATTCAGCTGAGTCTGAAGGACTTTCTCTTTCTTTCTTTTTCTTCCTTCCTTTCTTTATTTTTTGATACTGGGAATGGCCCAGGGCTTTCTACAACTAAATTACATCCCCCACCCTTTTTAAACTTTTTATCTCAAAACAGGGTCTTATTGAATTGCCCAGCCCAGGCTGGCCTCCAACTTGCAGGGATCCTCCTCCCTTAGCCTCCCAAGTGCTGGGATTACAGGTGTGCACCACCACACCGGTCTGGCCTCGAACTTTCAGTCCTTGTACAGCAGCCTTCTGAGTACCTGGGATTACAGGAGTGCATCACTGCACCTGGCCCATGAAGGACTTTTTAAAAAAAAAAAATTATTTAGAGCAAATTTGGGCTCACGGCAACACGGAGCACAAGGTACAAAGAGTTTCTACATCCTCCCCCCCCACACACATGCATAACATTAGTAACATTCAGCCCAAGACTGGTTACATTTATTACAATTGATGAACCTCCTATAGCAAATGAAGTTTATCCAAGGCTCAGTTATTGCTAATGAACCTACTCACCAGAAAGTCAAAAAATAGAAAGTGTTTTTTTGTTGCTGTATTTGTTTGGTGGTTTTGGGTGTTGGGATGAATCCAGAGTCTTCCATTCTCACCAACAATGAATAATTTTCTTTTGCTCCATATCCTTGCCAGTTTGGGTGTTGAACTTTATGCTGAAGGCCATGAGTAGCTTTTGAAGACTTTAGAGCTGGATAATACCCTCTTTGTAGTACGTTGAATGGTGGCCCCAAAATGGTAAATCCACTCAGAACCTGTGAATGTTACTTTCTTTGGCAAAAGGGTTTTAGCAGCCATAATTAATTAAGAATCCACCAGATGTGGTAGCATATGCCTATAATCCCAACTACTTAGGAGGCTGAGGCAGGAGGTTCTAAAGTTCAAGGATAGCCTGAGCAATTTAGTGAGGCCTTGTCTCCCTAAATAAATAAAAACGGGCTTCACTTGTACAAGGCCCTGGATTTGATCCCTAGCACTGAAAAAAAAAATACAAGAGAAGAGTAAAGGAGGCACAGAGAAGAGATCATATGAAAATAGAGGCAGAAGTTGAAGTGATGTGTCTACAAACCAAACATTGCCAAGGACTTCGAACAGCTACCAGAAGCTGGGAAAGAGAAGCATGAAACAAACTCTCAAAACAACTTGATTGGGGCTGGGGATGTAGTTCAGTGGTAGAGCTCTTGCCTAGCACATGCAAGGCCCCGGGCATAGAGATATATATCACCTTGATTTCAGACTTCTGGCCTCCAGAACTGTAATAAATTTCTATTGTTTTAAAGTTTAGGATAATTTGTTATGGCAGCTCTAACCAACCAACACACCCTAGACTATAAAATCCAGTTTCCTAAGACCCCAGTCAAATGCTCTTTTCCCCTGCCTGATGTACTACCTCCTTATCTGTCTTGTAAAATTATACTCATTCTTCATTCTTTTTTTTAGTTTTTTGAGACAGGATCTTGCTGTGTAGTTCAAGGCTGGCCTTGAACTCATTGTGTATCCCAGGCTGTCCTCAAACTAATGGTGATCCTCCTGCCTCAGCCCCCTTGAGTACTGGGATACAGGCATGTGTCATCATGCCTGGCTCATCTTTAAGATTCTGCTCAAAAAGCAGCTCTTCAGCAAAGCTTCCCTGAACTACGCCCCTCTGCAGCTTGGTAAATTTAGTTACTTCTCCTGTGTTCACAAACTTTGGACTGTCTTCACATCTATGCCATAGAATTTATTACATACATTATATTGTATTATTTGTTTATGTCTTCCCTACTTATCTATGAACTTCTAGAATGATATGGGTGTCTTATTTGTCTGTATATTCTCAAAATATAAGCACTATGCCTAGCACATTATTAAAGAATTAATAAATGTTATCTAGATAAACAATTTCTGTAGCTAGGTGTGGTGGTGCATGCCTGTAATCAATCCCAGCACTTCAGAGGCCAAAGCAGGAGGATCATGAATTTAAGGCCAGTCCTGGCAAGTTAGTGAGACCTTATCTCAAAAACCAAACCAAACAAAACACCTCAAAATATTAGGGACGGGGGATAAGTAATTTCTGTAAATAGCTTCTCCAATCAGCTCTGTGTTTGGGAGAAGGTAAGTCTGGCCACAGAAAGAAGAGTGAATTAGAGGGCTGGGGATGTAGCGCAGTGGCGCAGCACCTGCCTGGCAAGCATGAGGTCCTGAGTTCGATTCCTGATACCAAAAACCCAATTAATTAGAGAGCAAAAGACCTTTAGAAAAGAAGACTGGTTAGTGGGTTCCAGTAATAATCATGACTTGAGGTAACGAAAAGCTGATTTAGCACAACAGCTGTGGGAATGGAAAGGAGGAAACTACTGGGAGCAACACCACAGAAGCAGGGTGGGTTGGATTGAGGGGATATTGAAGAGGATACTGAGGTTTCAAGTCTGGGTGGCTGAGAGGGCAATGATATTATTAACAGATAGGGAAGACAAGAAGAAAAGCAGATTTGGGGGGATGAGGAGTTTGAAGCTAGTATTATTGTTTTTCCATTTCTAAGTCAGATCTCTTCACCCATCTCTATAGAGACCCAGCTCAAGCAGCAGCTAACAGTGGTTATTCTGATTTTGATTAGGTCAGAGGAAGACAGCTGTACACATGCTCGTAGGAGCCACAACAGTATTTTCCATCTTCCCGGGATAGTACAGCTTTGACAGAGATTTAAGGGTGAATTAGCCAAGAAAGGATCATAGTATAGGATTGGGATGGTGTCGGAGCCTCCACTATAAAAGATGACTTAGACAACTGGGCATGGTGGCACATGCCTGTAATCCCAGCACTCGAGAGGCTGAGGCAGGAGAATTGCTATGAGTTCGAGGCCAACCTGGGCTATATAGTGAGTTTAAGATCAGCCTGAACTACATAGCGAGACCTTGTCCCAGAAAAACCAATAAATAAATATAAAATTACATTTAAAAAGTAAAAGATAATGACTTAGGGCTGGGGATTTAGCTCAGCGGTGCCGCTGCCTGCCTCCCAAGCGCAAGGTCCTGAATTCAATCTCCAGTACCAAAAAGAAACAAAAGAAAAACCAGTAAAAGATAACGACTTAGAGAAGGTGGTTGGGAATGGTGCTAGGGGAGGGAGCAGATCTCTCCTAGGATCTAGGTGGTCTGAGTCTGTGACACTATTATATACCCTCTTTAGTCTCTACCTAACTCCACCTTACAGCAGCACCTAATCTCTCAAAGGATTTAGTCTGTGTCTCCGAACACATTTGCCACACCCTCTGTAAAGCCCTGGCTTGTAAGGTTCTTTCCACCGGAAGCTATGACAGAAGGAAATGTGTGGGTGGGGAGGGGTAGAGGGTGAGGGGCCCAGGTTCCCCACACAGACTACACCCAGGGAACAAAGAACAAGCGCCATGTTGAAGCCATCATTACCACTGAGATCCCTCTTACTTCTGCAGCTACCTTTGCTGGGCATGGGGCTGAACTCGACGGTCCTCAAGCCCAGTGGGAATGAAGACACGACAGCTGGTGGGGAATCTGGGACTGGAGGGGGTTGGTGAGAAGGCTATGGGAAGGGACCATACAGAAATCTGGAACCTGCCAGTGGCCTTCACAACAATGCAGGGAGAATTGAAAATTAGAGTGGGGAGGACAAGGGGAAAGGTTGCCTGCCTCACGCTATTTTTTTCTATCATTTCTTCTCTTTTCTGCTCCCACTTTGTTTTCTCCCCAACCTAGATTCCTTCTTGACCTCTGAGACCCCCAGGTCTCTCAACAGTTCCATCCTGCCCCTCCCAGAGGTTCAGTGCTTTGTATTCAATGGCGAGTACATGAATTGCACTTGGAATGGCAGCTCTGAGCCCCGGCCTACCAACCTGACTCTGCGATATGGGTATGAGAAGGGAAGAGGGGATTGCACAGGAAAGGAAGAAGAGGTGGGGTGGATGAGAGAGACTACAAGGGGACCGAGAAAATGGGTAGCCAGCCTCCCAGGCACCCTTCTATTTTCTCATGGGATATAAGTTATAGGTCAGTTCAGGTCAGATAGGTTAGGCTGTGGACATATGCAGTACCCAAATTTGCCCCACTATTCCTCTTCCTTCCAACCTTTCTCTAGGTACAAGAACTCTGATAATTATAAAGTCCAGGAGTGTGGTCATTATCTTTTCTCAAAAGAGATTACTTCTGGCTGTTGGTTTCAAGAAAATGAGATCCATCTCTATGAAACATTTGTTATCCAGCTGCAAGACCCACGAGAACCCAGGAGGCAGATGGAACAGAAGCTAAAACTGCAGAACCTGGGTAATCTGGAAAGCAGTGGTCAAGAGGTCAGGGCTATTGTGGGGCATTAGAGTCAGTGGAGTGGTGTTCTTTCCTCGTTGTGGTACACAGAAAGGACGAGGTAGGGGATCAGGATGGAGAAGGGATGAGGGGTGAGGGGAACTACTTTTAAGATCCAGACTTGTCTAAGCCAGGGTAATGACCACACATGCACACATATCTCCAGTGATCCCTTGGGCTCCGGAGAATCTAACACTTCGCAACCTGAGTGAATCCCAGCTAGAACTGAGCTGGAGCAACAGATACTCCTTGGACCGCTGTTTGCAGCATTTGGTGCAGTATCGGAGCGACTGGGATAGCAGATGGACTGTGAGTGACTGGGGACATGAATGCAGCAACTAAGTCCAAGCATGTGGAGATAAAGCATTCAGTCATCCAGATAGAAAGACCTTATACCAAGCTCCTGTTCTTTGCCTCCCAGCTCCTATGCTCCTCCACCCTCTACCTTCTTCCAACTCCTTTTCTCTATCACTGTCATCATCAGTGAATTCTTTTTTTTTTTTTTTGGTAGCGGGGATCAAACTTGGGACTTGTGCTTGTGAGGCAGGCGGCAGCACCACTGAGCTAAATCCCCGGCCCATCATCATTGAATTCTCATGGAGGATTCCCTGTCCATACTCTTCCTGGGACCAGACAGAGGAGTAAACAAATGCAAGGCATTAAGGGGATCTGGAGCGGAGGCATTAGATTTAAGTCAGTGAAGAGGGAACCATGGCGTGAGTTGTTAAAAGAGGAGGGAAAGGTCAGAGGGAGGGGAGGGGAGGGCGACCAAAAAAAAAAAAGAATTAAGATGTGCTGTATACGTGTACAAATCCCTCTGGATGAATGTGATCGTTATGTACTACAAACATGTACTAATAGAAATAAATAAATTTTGTAAAAAAACAGAGGAGGGGAGAAACCAGAAACAGGTTTCTTTGGAACTGGGAAGAAGCAGAACTTGGAAGAGCCAGGTAACACTGAGGTACAGGCAAGAGTGTATTTTAATTCTCCCTTCATTTATATATACTCACCTTTTTCTCACCCTCTTTCTTCTCAAGGAACAACAAGTGGATCACAAACAGCGCTTCTCCCTTCCTAGTGTGGATGGGCAGAAACTGTACACATTCCGGGTTCAGAGCCGCTTTAACCCACTCTGTGGAAGTGCTCAGCGTTGGAGTGAATGGAGCCACCCAGTCCACTGGGGAAGCAATACTTCAAAGGGTAAAATGGACCAAATACATGATCCCAATCCATAAGCCCAGCACCCCAACCTTTCTAACACCACTGTCTTTTGCTCTTCCTCTCTATTCCTAACCCTAAACATGCTGCCTCACCTCCCCTCACTGTTCAACATCAACTCCTAGGATGCAGGGGTTTTCTCTGTAGGGATGGGTTGGTATGTTGTCAAGTAGGGAACCTGGATTGAGAAGGCCAAAGGGTGCTCAAGGGAGATATGGAACATGTATGATTTCTCTCCAGCATTCCAGAGAGCCTGCACAGTGATGATGGCCTTCGAATCAGACTGACCACTCTTTGATTCTGTTTCCTCATCTGTAAAATGTAGATAATGATTGTTCCTCTCAGGAACTGTAGTGAAGATTAAGTACAGGGAGTGTGTTTTGCATGATACCTAGTACCCTCGTCATAGGGGCACCACAAAGTAAGGTTCATTTTCCTTTCCTTTTTTTCTATAGAGAGTCCGTGGTTATTTATAACCAAAGCTGTGGTTATCCCTGTTGGCTCCATGGGACTGATTATTAGCCTCTTCTTTGTGTATTGCTGGCTGGAACGGTGAGATTTCAGAAGGCTCCAAAAAATGAAGTAGGGTGGTTGGGAAGAGTGAAGGAGGGTTATTTCAGGTTCTCCAGGGCTAGAGGGCAGGACACTAAGGAATGAGGGTATGGAATGAGGAATGAGGGTATCAAGAAGGTATGGTGAAAAAAAAAAGAAGGTATGGTGATGGGAGGAAGCTACAGGCACAAAAACCACAGAATCCCTTCATTTCAGAAGACTGGAAGAGGGGTAACAGAAGAGCTTTGACTTATGTGCTTGTATTCCCTCTTTCTCAGGACAATGCCTCGAATTCCCACCCTCAAGCACCTAGAGGATCTGGTCACTGAATACCATGGGAACTTTTCGGTGAGAACGCTATCATAAACATGTTGCCGTCTGTCAACTGCCAACTGCTGACCAACAAGATAGATGTTGGTGGGGGGGGGGGTCAGAGTAGAGGGGGAGGGGACCTGCACTGTCAGGATGTGGCCAACCAAATGGGGGAATGAATGAGGGAGACAGACACAGAAGAATGGATTATAGATTGTGTGAGACAGATGAAAACAGTGGTATTGAGGGCTCAGGAATCTGGGTGTCCCTTCTGTAATCACAGTGGTTGCAGACATCTTGAGAGCTCCTCTGGCACAGAGCTTGTGTCGTTTGCTTCCTGCCCCTAATTGACCTTTGACCTGGAGATATCTGTCTTTAGGCCTGGAGTGGTGTGTCTAAGGGACTGGCTGAGAGTCTGCAACCAGACTACAGTGAACGGCTCTGCCATGTCAGTGAGGTGCCCCCAAAAGGAGAGGCCCAGGGGAGGGGCCTGGGGGCTCCTCCTGCAGCCAGCCCGACCGGGCTCCCCCACATTACACCCTTAAGCCCGAAACCCCCAAAACCCGAGTCCCAATTCCCTGACAGAAGCCCAGCATCCTATAGCTGTAAGTGTTACTAACTCCTTCTCATCCACCCTTCCGATCTGGGCCAATGCTCATTCCATCTCCTGTGGCTCATTTTGGATTTGGTGCCCCATGTAACTGCCCCTTAATTCAGTATCCCCTACTTGAGAACTGCCCCTTTGCCCTGTCCATGTTTCTCATATCCCCCAGTCTCATGTTTCTCATATCCCCCTTCCTTTTTATAGGATTCTTTCTCCCTTTGTCCCTCTTTCCCTCCCTGGTACCACCTATCCTTTAATTATTCCCGGAATCAATAAGAAATAAAGTTTCTGTTGATAATTATCAAGAATGTCTGTCATGGGGGCGGGGAACAGGGGAAATATGGGGTGTAATGAGGGTGGGAGTCAGGGTGTGAGGGCAGGAAAAAGAAGTAAAGTCATGTTGTAGAAGTGATAGTACTCAAATTAACTAGAAAGGAGTACTGTCCTGGAAACTTACTTTTCTTCAGTCATTCTAGGGCCAGTTTAGTTTTGCATTTACCATGTGTTTCCCTTCCCTAGGTGCCATTTCCAACAAATCTTTTACAGACCCCACCCAAGTTCTCTCTTTAGCCTTACTCCACCTTCTGCTACACTTACCACTTCTGACCTCACAATCCCTCACCTCAGGCCCCACCTCTAGAGATGCTGGTTATCCACAACTGCCAATAGCTTTCTCCTATCTGCCCAGTCTGGGCCTCCTCAGCCTGTGAGGTCCATCTGCCCCTCCAGTTTCTTAACCCTATGGGCCCATCTGCCCTCCCCACCAGGCCAGCTAGAACACTCTCCTTTCAGAAAACTCAACAAGGTGCTCTCTGGAGAGTGAGATGATCTTGAGAGCATGTTTATCATCATCAAACATGGAGGTGAGGGGCAGCACAAAGCTGGAGGTCTGGGAATGGGCATGGGGAGGGTTGAGGGCAATGGAGATCACGGAGATGGTGTAACTATAGAAGGTCCTGCATACCCCATCCTATTTCTTCTCAGATAATCAGCAGTTTCTAGTTAATACCAATTGCTCTGTCCTCCTGTTGATGCATTATATCTGCTCTAAAGTGGACTTGCATAAACAAGGTGAGGAGTTTGGGGAGGGGTTTAATGGCCAAGGTCAGAAGCTCTAGAATCATGTTAGCTGTTAAAGTCTTCTCCTGACAAGAAGAGAGTTCCTCATATCCCTACAGCTTCCTCCAACCCAGTCTGGAAGATCCCTGGTCCCTTTTGCTCTCATTGTCTGTCCTCAGCTGCCCCAATTATCTTGTGGCCTTCCTCAAGACATCATCGATTTGTGTGATGAATCGGGGACAATGAAGATGTTTTTCATGATGAAGACCCCTGGAGAATATGCCAGCAAATTCCTTACAACTCTTAACACTTACTACGTTTGTAAGATGGAGCATGGGGTACCAGGTAGAGATTTGAGAGTGTTCCCTAGAGATACAGCAAGGCCCTGAAGATGGTTAATGAGCTTTGTTCTTAAAATAGGACACCTTTCTCCAGATCCAAAGTGACCATTTCTAGGAAGGCTAAGACAGGGCACCGCTTCTATGTCAGTTAGGTTCATACATCTCCCCCATCTTGGAGTCCACAGCTACCCCTTATGTCCATACCTAAGGGGAAGAAATGAGGCAAACCAACTCAAGGGAGTATTTAGTGTTAGACTCCTGAAATCTTGGACTTCAGGAGAGTGCAGACTAGGTGACAGGGCAGGGGCTGAGGATAGCACACTACTGCTATGCTCACAGAAACCAGAATTGAGAATTCCTACATAGCTATTGTGCCTCTCCTGAAGAATCCAGAACCCGAACTGGTTGGTAAGGAGTATGATGGCAGAGGGAAGAATGTGGAGTGTGCTACATAGCTATATGATGGAAAATATATGGTGGGACTAGTATACCATGGTAGGTGGGTCACAGTAGTCTAGGAAAAGGGGAACAGGGTGCAGGTACACTTTAGGAGGGATGTTTAGTTAAATCCTGGTAGGGTGTGCATGTGTCAAAACCCGCCCCCCAACCCCATTTCTCGGCCATCTTCTCTGTGTATCTTTCCCTATTACCACACTATTGTAACATCTTAGGCCAGGTTACTCCAACTGATCATCTGAATGATGGGAGGGTCAGTATGGGTAAGGTTTCAAGCCCTAGGAAGTGCAGGTGCCTTTTTCTGGTTCCTAGATGTGCTTTGCACACAGTGTGAGATCTTAAGAGAGGAACCGAGTGAAGATGCTTAAAATCCTAGAAGCCAAGCGGGTCCCTGCAATTCAATCCACTGTGAACCTCCCAGTAAGAGTCCTCAAATGTGGCTGGTCCTCTTCCCACCAGCAAACTGAATATTCCTCCCTTCTGCTTAAGGAATTGAATTTCCTTTCTGAATCCATGTCTCCTTTTGTCCATTACCTTCCCAGCAGGGCCTCTTTGTTTATCTACTTGTTTTGCCTTTCTAGTCCAAATCTGGAGGAACACAAGCCCCCTCCCCCTTCTCAAAAGGGCCTGCACTATAAGACCAGAGTAGTATTTCAGGGTCAGAGGAACAGACATCGATAACTCAATAAACTGACCAAGTGAGAAAAGTATTCTGGGTATGAAATTCCTAGAATTTAACATGTTCCTTCTTTCTTTTTTTCTTTGGGTACTGGGGATTGAGTTCATGGGTACTCTACCACTGAGCTGGATGCCCAGCCCTTTTTATTTTGAGACAGGGTCTTGCTAAATTGCCCAGGTTGGGCTGGAATTTGTGATCCTCCTGCCTCAGCCTCCCGAGTAGCTGGGATTACAGGTGGGCACATAGCTTGTGAAGTTCCTTTTCAGAGAAAGACCCCCCCCCCCCACAAAGGTTTAAGTAGGCCCCAGGCACTGGGGAGGCTGGACTAGAGAGGAGACTGTAAAGTCTAATTTGAGTCTTTGAGGGGTGGAGAAGGGGTGGGGTCTTCTCAAACCAGCCCGCTTGCCTGAGGAGGCCTACCTCCCTCTCTGGCTGGGGTTAGGTGCCCCTCCCCCACACCCTCCACTACCTCCCAGGTTGAAATTCCCCCACTCCTACAGCTCTGCCTCGGCCTCTGGGCAGTCCTTCCCACCCACTCAACCTTGATTTAACTGCCCTGCGCCTTTTCCCTTATCAGAGGGGAGCAGCAAGGCAGCAGAAACCTGAGCTGTTATATAGGCATTTATTGAATTTATTCATTTATTGATTTGACACACTTCTCCACTCAAATCTAGCACATGATACAATCTGGGTAAGCCAAGCGCTGACACAGGAAATGATGGGAACCCACAGCAGGGGTGGGGGAGGGGACAATGTAAAGGTCACTGGGGGAGGGGCTGCTCTGGGGGCTGGGGTGGAGAAAGAACCCCAGATGGCCTCCCTAGCAGGTGCTAGTAAACCTGATCCACATTCCCCCATCTCTGCTCATTTCCCAGACCCTCAGTAAAGCTTCCCAGCTGCCCCCCCCCCCATAACCCCTGCAGTCAGGGAAGGAAAAGAAGGGCAGGGACAGCTGTCAGGGCCCTTGCACAGGGAAGTCTCTGTACCTAACTTTACCATTCTAAATCCTTTCCTCCTTTTCTCCTCTTCTGCCCCTCCTGCCACGCCCCAAGCTAATTACAGGCCTTCAAAACACTCTCCTCCAGTAGTAAGAACCCACATTGGATAAAACAAGTGGGTGGCCACACCCCAACACCACACTGTCCTAGGTATAAGTCAGTGATGGGGAACCTTTTAGAGCTTTCAATGATACAGTCTGCCATGGCACACGTGCCATAGGTTCGTCACCACTGGCATAAATTGACCGAAAGAGGGTACTTGGCTTAAATTTTTCCTTAGGGCAACTCGAACCTAGTTATATAGACCTTTTTCTAGACCTGGCCCAAATGGAAGCTCTTGTTTGCTACTGCTCCCCTCCTCGCCTCTAATTTCCCCATGTCTCCCCTAGTAATGTCTGTAGTGTTTGTATCATGTCACTATGACAAAGCCTTCAGAAAGAAAAAAGCATTCTCGCCACCACTAGCACCTTGCCACTATTAAAAAAAAAACCTCTATATTTGTGTTTATATTTCTTTAAAAATTTATAAAAAGCCTTTCTGTTATCTGCAGTCTTCCAAAGGTGACTGGCCTGGTGAGCCACTCCAGTGCCCAGACCTTTGGCCTTTTAAGGTTCCCTATCCCCCGCCCACTGGCCTAAGGGGCCACTGCATAAAAATCCCAGGCTCAATTTAGCCTGGTCCAGCTCAGATAAGACTCTCTACAAAAAATCCTGCTCCCAAAGGCAGGGGTAAGGCCACTGGTGACTTCACATTTCAAACAGCAATGCTGGCCCCTGCTTCAAAGCCCAGGGATGGGATGGGGAAGCTGAGGATGGCTCCTGAGAAAGGGCCTTACTTCCTAATTGGCACAGTGAGAATAAACCCTCTTCCCCCCCCATCACCCTCCCCCACATCGACCCCATATGGGGCAGCTTTATCTTTACAATTTCCTCAATACCCGTTTGTGTGACTAGACCCCACCCTAGCTCTGAAGGGGGGGGGTGTCCTAAATTCCTGGGGAGGGCTCAAGGGAAAAGAGTGGATATGGATGCCCAGGGTCCATCTCTAAAGCAGGGGACAAAGCTTCCAGCCACGACTCAGGGATCTGTAGGAAGAAGAAATAGACGACAAAGTAAGAGATTTATCTGGGGGCAGGCCAACTTCCCACCATCCAGATTCATGCCCAGAAAAACAGAGACACCCTCTCCCTACACACACACCCCTTTTCTGCTGCCTTGTGGGGGTGAGGCACTGCTAAGGGGCCTGGAGGTCCCATTTGGAAACTATGTCACCATAATATGACATCTTTCCTCCAGTTCCCCCAAAGCTCTGGCTACCCCCTTTTCTAAATCTCTCCCTGGTCTAGATCACAGGAATAGCTGGACATCATTTTTCTAAATCTCTCCCTGGTCTAGATCACAGGAATAGCTAGACATCCAGGACCAGACATAGGTTTTGAGATGCTATGGTGATTTTAGGGTGCCATACCTGGCTCAAAGTTGAAGTCCAGTCCCTCACCCCCATCCATGAGGTCACTGATGATGTTATCCATGTCACACTCCAGGTTCTCCATGTACATATCAAGATCTAGATCCTGAGGCATTCTGTCTTGGCCTGCTGCTTCAGTAGAAGGTGTGAGCACAGGAGCTCCCAGGGCCTTGGGGATGGGAGCACCTGCCATGACTGGAGGTGGTACCATTATAGGTAGGCTGGGAACCAGACTGCTGGGGCCTGGAGCCTCTAGGGGCTTGGGACACAGGCCCACTCCTGTGGACAGCTTACTGGAGGAAGGTATCCCACCCAGCAACAGAAGTGTGGGAGCCTGGGACAGAATAGGATCTACCTGGGTCATGAGGACATCTGCAGGGGGTGGTGGCTTATCAGAGGTAAGCAGGGCCTCTAGAGACTGGGAGCTTGAGAAGCACCCTTCTGGTGACAGGGGCCCCTCTGCCGGGCTGAAGAGGGAGGTGCTGTAGGTGTGTAAGGGGCCAGTAACTCCAGCATGCTGCAAAGAGAAGCCCGAGAGACTGCTCCGGGATAGCAGCGAGTGGGGAGATGTGAGATTGAGCCCATCTAGCAGCTCTAGATCTTCATTTAGGGTGGGGACGCCCCCTGCATAGCTGCTGACCGAGGCTGGCATTTCCTCCTCTGCCAGCACTTCAGATTCTGGTCTCATGGGGGACAGCCGGGTGCTGACAGTGCTAGCATTTGAACTGCTTCGTGGACGGAAAGTGGTCCACATATCGGCTTCTTCACGGCTTCTAGAGCAAGGGCTGCCTGACCACTTGGCAAAGTGGCTGATAGGGCTCGTGGGAGTGGCACCTTCAGGTGGAGCTGGCAGCACAGATGGTTTCTTCTTGGGGGCCTTGCTGCGGCCCCGGAGCAGCTTGCTGCTGCTATCCATGGATGCAGCCCGGCGGCGGGGTGCCTTGCCGCTCTTGCCTCCCTCAGGGTTCAACATCCACCAAGAGCTCTTGCCAGTGGCCTCGTTGTGAACTTTGATGAACTTGCTGTGCAAGGACAGGTTGTGGCGGATGGAGTTCTGGAGGAGGCAGAGTGAACAGGAAAGGGGCATGAGGTATGTGGAGGGGAGGTAGGTGGCCATCAGATTAGCTACCTAAGGGGAGGTTGGGACACAGCAGGGGTGTACCTGGAGACTCAAAGTCAAATCAAGGGGGAAACCTGCAGAGGGGAGAGGAGGAAGGAGCTGAGGAGGGGGAGGGAAGGGAAGGAGATCATACACAGTTCCCCCCTCTAGGACAAGTGGTTCAGACTCTGCCCCTGACTTCTCTGCACAGGGGTACCTAAGATAAAGTAACAACCTACTACAGAGGGCAGAGTACCCACCAGGGGAAAGCTCATTCCCCATTTCTGGGGAGTATCTGGGGCTAGTGACCCAGCAAGAACTTAAGTTCAGATGGGAAAAAGCATTCTACAACTCCACCCCTTTTCTTTTGAGACAGGGTCTTGCTATGTAGCCCAGGCTGGCCTTGAACTCATGGTGGGCGATCCTCCTGCCTCAGCCTCCCAAATGCTGGGGTTACAGGCATGCGCCACCACGCCTGACTTCCACCTCCCCCTTTTAAAATTTTTATTTATTTTTTTCCACCCCTTTTCTTGACAGCAGGCTGGGTGGAGATTACAGGACAGTGGTCACACACCCGTCCTAGGCCAGTTCTCTGAAGAGGCTGAGGGGCTGGAACTTCAGCGAACCTGGTGCTCCTTTCATTACTAAGCATTTGGGCCACCAACTCTATATGATTGGAAGATTCTTTTTTGAATCTCAGCTTTATTTCTGCCTATCGGCGACACACACCCTTCACCACAGTTACGAGGAACAATCTATCCCTCTCTCTTTTTCCTAGGAAGGATCTCCTCTCTAAATTATCCTAGTTCTTCAAGACCAAGTTTAAATTCCAGCTCTTTTAAAAAAGTGGTTGCTTGACTTTGACAGCCAGATTTCTTGTACAGTAATTTTAAGTCTGTCCCACACAATTGTTAACTAATCTACGTATATTGCAAGGTTTATGGTTTCATGCAATTAGACTCATCAAGTGTAAGTGCCAAGGGCATAGACAATGCTCTCTAGTTCCACAGCGTCCAATAGTGCACCCTCAGAGTACCGAGCCCACAGTGTAACAAATTCACAGCACACAATCAATATTTCTTGGCCAATTGGTGAGTGGCCCCTGGGTGAGGGCAGTGAGGCTTCCCCTGAGGCTCTATCAGTGTCCCCCTACTGTCATTAAATTGCCCAGGCTGGTCTTGAAAATGGGATCCTCCTGCCTCAGTCTCCAAGAGTGTTGGGATTACAGGCTTAATTCCATGCCAGCTTCTGTCAGCTCTTGAGTGCCTTAGATATTGGAAGCTATATGGGCTTTCCTTTCTTCCCTCACTGTTATCATTCTGCTAGGGACACTCCACCCTCCTCCCTGAGGCCAGGGAGCAAGATTGAGATGGTCAGCTTCTTGAGCTCTGGGTGTAGCTCATTTTTACTGGTTGCAGAAGGCTAGTTACACCACAATTTTGGTCCCCCTCCTTCTTTCCCTACCCCCTTCCCAGCTCCTTTCCCCCACTTCTCCTCAGGAATTTGTGAATAATCTCTCTACCTTAAGGGCATTTGACCTCCCACATGAAGCTCTTCAGTTTAGAAACTCAGGAGGAGCTAAGATGTGCTTGGAGCAAAGTAGGAGGCTACGGCTAGGACAGCAGTAGGGAGCCACTCCTGTGTCTCTGGTGCTTTCAGATAAGGAGACCTTTTGCTTGGGGAGCGCTCTTAAGCAGCTTCTTATTCCATAGCTCTTTTAGCCAAAGAACTTATCTCCCTGGGACCTTGTGGTCATGGCACTCCAACTTCTCTGGCTGCACTAATGCTTCTAGCTCCTTCAAGGACTTGCACTTGTCCATTGAGCCTGCGCTCTTCATGTAACTAAGGACTAGAGTGACTCCTGGCACTGTGATTTCATCCCTTCTCATTCTTTAATTCTGGGTCTACAGAGAAGGCCCATTCCTTTACCTACTTTCCCTACTAGTACCTATGAAGTCCATTTGTTCATCTTTTCTTCTTTAGGCCTTGGAAGTAGCAAGTGGGAGAGGTGAGTTCCCTAGAAGTCTATAACTCTTACATGCTTGGAGGGGGGTGACTGCTAATTGCTCCCCAAGCCACCTAACCTAAGCTCTCTTGTTCTAAGTGAGTGCCGCCCCCTGGTGGGGTGGGAGTAACCTTGGCACATCAACAGGGAAGCGAACCGCAGGCTTGAAGCTTCCCCAGGAGGCTGGTGGGGGCCTAGGAAGCCCCAGACTCAGCCTGATTTGGTTTTGCAATCATTCCTATGAAAGCAAGCCATGAGCTTCTTAGAGAAACAGGACTTAACAGTTAGACCTGAGTTCAAGTCTTCATTCTGCTGATAGTAGGCAAATTCCCTAACCTTTCTGTACTTTCCTTTCCTAATATGCAAAACTGTGGAATCTTAGAATTGCTGTGAAGATTAATAAAATGAAAAATTTAAGAACTATTTTGTAAGCTATAAAGGAGGGACTGTACTCCCACAGTATAACTAACAGCTCATGGTTATTTCTTCTACCCTGGAAAATGAACCTAAGGGAAAAGAAAAACAGCTGTGTAGGCTGGGTCCAAGGAGGGGAGCTCTTTATGAGCTGAGACTGTGGTGCGGCAGTCTACCCAGAAATAGTGCAAAGGGTCTCACTCAGCTGTCCTGTCTTCTGTTCTGCCCAGCCCTTATACATACTACAGATGTGATCCCTTAATCTCTGATACCTAAGGGAAGACTGTAGTCTCCGTACTTTGTTGTATGCTGACCTCAGCAACTACAGAGGCCCAACACATTAATATAGATTGAGGTGCCCGATTTTGTTACTTTTTGGTACTGGGAATCGAACTCAGGGCCTCGAGACTGCCAGGCAGGCACTGTGCTGCTGAGCTACATCCCTGGTAAGTTTTTTTTTTTTGGTACCGGGGATCGAACTTGGGTCCTTGCGCTTGCACAGCAGGCAGTGAAACCACTGAGCTAAATCTCCAGCCCCAGGGTAAGTTTTTTAAAAAGAGTATCTTAGGAGTTCTTTCCCCAGTTTCTTTGTGAAAGGCCAAGGAAACTCCCAACCTTGTGCTCTAAAGTCAGAGTCCTACATCTTTTCTCATGAGTAATAGTCCTCTACAGTAAATCATGTCTTTCCCCTAAAAGCCTGGAGAGCCCCTTACAAAGGAGAATTTCTTGGCATTATAGGGTAAACTGAGTCAGATAGCAGTTCAGTCCTTTTTCTACTTAGTGCACAAGATCAACTACTTTTCCACATGAATACCACTCTTTTTATCCTTTGCCACCCACTCTCCCTCCTCTGGGTAGAGCAATCCTAGAATAGTACCTTTACGCTGAGATATTGGGAAGCAAGCAGGGAATTCAAGTAATCCCACAGGAATGGGAGAAAAGGTGTTGGGGTAGGAGATGGGGTGGGGGAGGCTGGGTTCATGTGGGGAATCCACACAGTTCCTGCTGTACATAGGATAAAGACTTCTCTGTGGGATAAGTGTTTGGGGCTGCCCAAGCCAAAGTGCTGGGAGTGTTGAACAGGGAGCAGAGAATCTGATTTTCTCCATGGCAAGGACAGTGTTTTAATTCATCTGTGACGCTCTAGCATCAAGCTGAATGTGGCATATACAATATACCAAGGAAATGTTTGTCTACCTTAAAACTGAAGTTGGATCTCTAGGCTTCCCAAAGGTATGGGGGGGGGGAGGTTTAAAAAGGGTCCCAGAGTAAGAGTAAGGGGGCTGAGGAGCCCAGGAATAGGTGGTGTTGGGATGTAGGTAAGGGGGTCATAATTACCTTCCATCCCGCTGAGCTGTTGCTGTCACCCTTGTCCTTGAAGTAGGGCACAGTGCGAACCATCCACTCATAGATCTGAGAGAGTGTCAGTCGCTTCTCCGGGGCGCTTTCAATGGCCTGGCTGATGAGTTCTGCATAGGACTGATTTCCCCAGGCATTCCGGCGGGAGCCTCCCTTCCGAGGACCTGTTACAGCCCCCAGGATCCCCGGCTGGGGGCCCCCTGCCGGCTCTGGGAGCTGGGAGGGCAACAGGATCGGCTCGGAGCGCCCCTCCGGGTGTACCTTCTGTCCCAGACCTGGCTCCACCTCGGGCGGCTCCGACGGCTCAGTAGCAAGCTCTGGTCTAGGAAGGGGCCAGGTGCAGGAACGGGGACGGCTGTGGGGTTCGAAGTCGGGATCGAGGTCTACAATCGCGGCAGCCTCTGTGGCTGAATTCTTATTCCCTGGATCCATACGTGGAGTTGGACCTCCGTGGCTCAGCGTTCAGTGGAGCCTGCCAGAGTCCCTCACCATGCTTCCCCCAAGGGGGGAAGCACCGAGGGCCAGGAGGCACATTCCTGCCAGTCCCCAGAAAGTCATGAACTTCCTCCCTCGCCTCAGGACGCTAGACCCCAAACTGTCCCTTCCACGCAGTTCTCTGATCCCCTCGCCAACTACAGTCTGCAGCCTGAGAGCTCTTTTTCGAGACACCACCTGTAACCGCTGCCTAGCGAAGACACTTTTTCTCCAAGCTCTCACTTAGCTTCCTGCTCTTTTAAACCTGAGGCACAGGATCCCCTCATACATTGCGCTCCACCATCGAACGTCTTCTTAGCCGCAGGTCCCTCCCCCTTTTAAGTTGCTGCCCCCCGGACACTCCTCCCAAATTTCCTCCTCCCGGATCACTGCCCTCCCCCAAATCCCGCTCCCCAGCGTCACTTGCCCCTCCCCTAGACTCCCCCTTCCCCGCCTCTTCCCTTCTTGCCACTCTTACTAGGGTGAGGGTTCTCGCGTACCCCAGCCTCCCTTATTCCTGCACCAATTCCCCTATCAAACCCCCCACCCCCCGCCCCCCGGGTTTCCCTTTTGTTTTGCTCCAAGCAGCAGCCCCAGCCTGACGTCTCTGTTTACCACTCGCAGGGACAGCCATCTGCGCACGCGCCTGGAGAGCCAGTTGGGAAACCGAGTTCTTCAGTCGTGCCACCCTGGGCAGTTTTAAGGACTACATCTCCCGTCCTACTTTGCGACCAGGAGCCCGAGACCAGCGGCGGGAGAACAGCGTGGCAGGATATGGGGAGGTGGAACTTTAATTATTAGAGGTCGTCGCGGACTCTTCCTTTTCGTAAAAATAATTTTCCTCCCCCTCTCCCTTCTACCTGCTCCCTAATTCGAGGTCGCCCACGTTATCGTATTGGGAGATGCTAGACCTTTTTCCTCCTTGAGTTAAGAGCGACCAAGAGGAAAAACACTTTGTCCCCATGAAGCAGAAAACTGTGAAGCAAGAAGCAAGGAACTGACTAAAAAATAAGATGTATGCACTTTGGAGAGTTCGGTGGGAGGCTTGTATAACATAAACAGCCAATGGTGGTGGGCTCCTTCATCCGTCTCTGTCCCCCACTATACACTACAAACAGTTGACGCTGACGGTGAAATCTTTCTCACTAGTTTCCTCCGCCGCTTCTCCTGGACTCTCCTTCTTAAATATTGATATTCTTCTGGTTCCCATTTTAAACGGCTTTGCTTTTTATTTAACAGGTCCTAAACTGACCTTATCTTTTCCTGCACCCACACCCCTACCCTCCGGCTACCCTTGATCTCTGAATTTGGCAAACCAATCTCCCAAGCTAGACCTTTTCATCTCCCTAAGTTGCTCCATCCAAATCCTAGCTGGAGATCTTATTTAGGATTTAAATTGCAATGTCTTAATTCGATCTCTTTCCATCAGTCTTTCTCCACTACAGTTTGTGTTCCGTGCTGCCAACACTTAACCATTCTAAGAAACATGCCTGGTAATTCCAGCTAAAATTATGGAGTGCTTATTATGTGCCAGTCACTGTGCTAATTGGTTTGCTCATTTACTCTTCATATCAACTCTGTGAGGTAGGTACCACTATTATCCCATTATTTTCTTTTTTTTTTTTGCGGTACTGGGGATTGAACTCAGGACCTTGCGCTTGCAAGGCAGGCGCAGCGCCACTGAGCTAAATCCCAGGCCCACTATTATCTATCCCTATTTTATAGATAAAGACACTAATAATACTCAGAGGTAAGTGGCTTGCTGAAGAAAACAGGAGAATAATTAGGAGACAGAAGACCTGACATCCTGTGACTTATATGTGATCACTTAATTTCCCTGCTTAAGACTTTCTCTGATTTTCCCCATTGCCTGCGTGGTAAAGTTCAAACTCCTTGGCAGGACTCTTTAGATTCAGGTCACTTCACACCTTCCCTGCCTCATCTTTTGCTAGGCAGGCTAAATTCCAAGCAGCTGGAGTTCTCCATTATTTTCTGGAAATAACCAACCCCCTTTACACCTTTCTGTCTACATCCTGGGATTTCATCACTTGTTATCCCCTCCTCAAGCCTCTTATTTTATTGTTATTTTTTAAGCCTCTTATTTTAGAAAACTCCTATACAGCTTTCCCTGTCTGCTCTTAAGTGCACCCAAGGTCTTTGTTTTCGGCATTCCCAAGCACCTTGGGCAGGGTCATGGTATATGGCCCAAACTGTGTTTGTTTACTTGTCTATCTCTCCCAATAAACTGAGCTCCTGGAGGACAGAAAGTTTTATGTATCTCTGTGACTTCAGCTCTGGGTCACTAGTAGAAATGAATGTTAGTTGAATGAATGAATGGGATCAGGAATTAAATGATATTACACTTGGACATTTAACAACTTTTAAATAAATTGTGCATTATCTCCCTTGACATGTTTCATGTTTTCTGCTAGACCACAATCTTCTAGGGACAGGGACTGTAATTTAATTTGTTTACCCTTTGTAGTGTTCCTTGATACATGTTCTGTGATGTTGAGGCCCTCCCCCTGTGAAGGATATTCATGCAACCAGGGTTTTTCAACACTGTCAGCATATTGACCTTTCAAAGTGATATTAACCATAGTCCTTTGTTCTTCTACTCCAACATGCATTTGTCCTCTGCCTGTCACCTAGATCGTATATAGAAGGCCATATATTCCTACCTGAGCTCTAGACTAGAGAGATGGGACATAGTTGCTCACAACACCTGCAAGCATTTCCTGAATACTCTTCCTCCTGCAGTCCAGTCTAGAGAATCTGGTAAGGACTGTATGGGTGGTGAATTCATTTGGTAGAGAAGAGAGCCTGTGGTCACTAAATGACAAGGAGCTTTCTTCTCACTGAAATAGGTGTGATGGCATCTCATGTAGAGTTGCTGAGATGGGGAAATGGCAGGGTGGGGTAAGCACCTGTCCTGGCTTGAGTTATATCTTGCATTGTTTCCCCTTTGTGCATTTGTTTGAAAAAGTCCACGTGTCCACAAACTCATGTGCACCACCTCAAGTTTCCAATTTCCGTAAATTTCTGAAAGTTGTGTGCTCTTTGAAACTTTCCCCAACTAGCCCAGCCTGACAGATCACTTATCTACTTGACACCTCCTGATCCTCTATGAAATCAATTTGTATTCTTTAATTTTGTGCTTGTGGTTACATGGCTTTTCATTTCATGAGAGTATATTGTCTTCCCCACTAGATACAGACTTTGTCATCAAACAAATGTTTGTTGAGCCTTCACAAGATGAAAGTATATCTTGAAACCATGAACAGATGAAAATGATCATATGCCATAGGATCAGATGTTTTAGAAGGGGGGGACAAGAGGATCAGTTGGGTGACAAAAACACTATGACTTTATTTATTTATTTTTGGTACCGGGGATCGAACTTGGGTCCTTGTCCTTGCGTAGCAGTGGCGAAACCACTGAGCTAAATCCCTGGCCCAACACTATGACTTTAAAGCTCATGAATTCAGGGTAACTCACCTCATTACTGTGAGACTGTTAGAATACACCTCAGTCAAGTAACAGTGTCAGCAAGGTAGCCTTGGAAAATAGAAGGAGACACTGGCCGGGAAAGAGGGCTAACAGGAGGCCCCCTTGTCATATGCTATGAACAGATATGGCAGGATTTAGGAGGCACAGGCTTTTCTCCTAGTTGAAACCCCAGAGTTTATGTTCTCAAATGGCTCCTGATTCACCACTTTTTTCTCTTGAGGATCACAGGGGTTTGGCTCTCTTGCCTCTTTCACTGCCACTACCCACTCTTCTACCTGGGTGCTGCCCCCGCAAACTGGCTCTATTTTTTATTTTTGTACTGGGGATCTAACTCAGGACCTTGCGCTTGTGAGGCAGGCGAGGTGCCACTGAGCTAAATCCCCGGCCCTATTTCTTTTTTTTTTTGGGGGGGTACAGGGGATCGAACTCGGGACCTTGCTCTTTCGAGACAGGCAGAGGCACCACTGAGCTAAATCCCCGGCCCTGGCTCTATTAATTTGAATTGACATAGGCATTTCTCCACTTCTTTTATTTATTTTTTATTTGTTTGTTTGTTTTGGATCTCGCTATGTAGTTCAGGCTGTCCTTGAATTCACTATGTAGCCCAGGCTGGCCTTGAACTCAAGGCAATCCTCCTGCCTCAGTCTCCCAGACACTGGGACTATAGGTCTGCACCACCACACCTGGCTTCTCCACTTCTTTGTTACCCTGCCCAGCTCTGAAAAAACACAACCCACATCTAGAGGTTTTATAAGATTTTTCCTAGTAACCACAGGGAAAGATGTAGTGGTGAACATAAATACCAATGAGAAACTTCCGGGACTCTCAGAAAGCACGACCTCTACCCATCCCTGATCTTTACAGAGGTGTATAGAACATACATATTTCGGTTGCACTTTTTCCTGAAAGTCATTTATTCTCCCTCCTTCCTTTCTTCCCTTTCTTCTCCTTCCCTTTCTTTCTCTTTCTCCTTTTCCTTCCTCTTCCTCTTCCTCCTCCTCCTCCCCCCTTCTCTTTTTCTTCTTCTTTTTTTTGAGGCAAGTCTTGTGTAGCCTAGGTTGGCCCTGAACTTGTGATCCTCTTGTCTCATTCCTTAAGTCATTTCTCATGTGTTTCTGTGAAACATTTCTGGTCCCTTTCTTAGTTTTGTTGTTGTTGTTGTTTGTGTTTTTTGAGACAGGGTCTTGCAATGTAGCTTAGGCTGTCCTTGAACTCACTGTGTAGCCCAGGCTGGCCTCGAACTTGAGGTGATTGTCCTACCTCAGCCAACTGAGTGCTGAGATTACAGGCATGTGCCACCATGCCTGGCTTGGTCCCTGTTTTAGAAGCCTGCTTAACTGTCTGTTATTTTTAAAAATATCTTCCCTTGCTGGGCCTGTGGCATCCGTAATCTCAGCGCTCTGGGAGGCTGAGGTAAGATGATCATAAGTTAGAACCCAGCTTAGGCAAATTAGTGACTCAGTGAAACCTTATCTCAAAATTGAAAAAAAAAATTAAAAATGGGCTGGGGGGCTGGGGATTTAGCTCAGTGGTTTCACCGCCGCCTGCCTTGAAAGAACAAGGTCCTGAGTTCGATCATCGGTACCAAAAAAACCCCCACAAACAAACAAACAAAATATGGGCTGGGGATGCAGCTCAGTGTGAAGGCCCTGGATTCAATCCCTAGTACCATGAAAAAAAAATTTTTTTTTTTTTACTTTATGAACATTTCCTTAAAGCCTGCTATTTTCCAGGCACCAGACTAGTGAGTTGCTTTCCCAAAAGTGCAGACCAAAAGACCAAAAGACTCAGATTTTAGTTCCCTGTAGATTTAAGTGGGCATCACTACTAAGTTTGAAGCAATTTTCAGTCCTTTCTGAACTCTGAAGGTCAGTCTGGTGCAATGAAAAGAGCACTAGATTGAGTCAGAACATCTGAATCCTTGTCACTACCTGTCACTAACTAGTTGAACAATGATATGAATTACACTAATTTTTTTGCTCTTGTTAATTTTTTGTTGTAATTGCACAGACTAATAAGCAACATTTACTGGGTTTTATTATGTGTTAGATGTCATGCTAAGCACTTTATACAAATTCTCAGATTTAATCTACCCAACAAGTGTATAACCTAAATGCTATTCCTATTTTCACTTCACAGAGGAAAATGAGACTTAGGGTAAAGGGATCCAGAGTCACAAAGTGGTAGGGCAGGGCTACAAACCTAGGCAATCTGATTCCTGAGCCTATACAAGTCAATTCTCCCTTTCTGGTTTTGGTTTCCTTATTTGTAAAATGAAAATGTTGTATTAGATGATCTCCAGTTTCTTGCTCTAAAATGCTACTTCCAAGCTGGATATAATACTCCACATTGCCCCTTTGGCCTTAGGCTAAGCTTATACCTCACATCCCCACAAATTCAGTCTTGGCCCTCTGCAAACAACTTCCATAATACTTCATGCCTCGAGGGTTTTTTTTGTTGTTTTTTTGTTTTTTTGTTGATACGCAGGATCAAACTCAGGACTTTGTGCTTGTGAGGCAGGCAAGGCACCACTGAGCTTATTCCCTGGCCCTATGCCTCGAGTTTTGAGGAACTTTTGAGCTTCCTGTTTAATCTTCCCTGTGTACCTCTTTATTTCTAACTTTTGAAGTCCTAGTGGCTTGATATTTACCAGACTTCTTTTTCCAATGCTGAGGATCAAACCCAGGGCCTCATGTATGCTGGCCAAGCGCTCTACCACTGAGTCACATCCCCAGCCCTCATACTTCTTTACTGAAGAGTTTTTGCCAGAGACATTTTCAAACAGCCCCCTCCCCCCAGAAAAAAACAGAAAAAAAAAAGGGATCTGGGAGATATGGCTCAGTGGTAGAGCACTTGGCTAGCAAGTTTGAGGACCCTGGGTTTACATTAATGTCTCAATTTACCAATTCACCAATCAAAAGAAACAGACTGGCAAAATGGATCAAAAAGGAAGATCCAACAATATACTGCATACATAAAACACATTTAAATCAAAAAGAGAGATAGAGATTTTCCTGCCACTAAATTCTTCTTTCCCTCAATTGAAAAAAAGGATTAAAGCAAGTAAAATCTTTTAAGAAATTATTTGTAATCCTGTTGCCCTCATACCATTTTCATCTTTATCAGT